AAGCCGCTGCGAAATTAGAGGAAATAGAGAAAAGGAGAAAGAGGGAATGAGGTAGTAAGGGAGAAGGGGGCAGAAGAAGCAGCTGTTGAGAAAAATCCGCGGGGTGAGATACTCGGAGTACTCGCAGATACACCGTACAGCTCGTCCCAGACCGCTGGATCCGCAGAACAGCTCAACACTTGGCAGTCCCCAAAGTACCGGGTACTGACGATACTGTACCCACTTCGTCGTAAGTCTAATACATCACCGATACAAAGAGTATGGGAGATGTTGATGTGAGGGTTACATATGTCTATCTTGAATATATGTAACATTGACATTTCGAAGTGTATATAGCCCTTATCTTCTAGTATTCAACCTGTAATATGTACATATCTCCATATCTACTACATTGAAGAATCAAATGTCCAAAAAAAGGTATCGGTATAGGACCTCGGAGACCGAATCGGGATTGTAAATGCACATGTAAAAAATCTCGGACTATCAACTCAACAAACGTCTCCAAGCGATGTCGGGGGGACCAACAAGTCCTCCGTACACCTCCATACACCTCAAAATAGGAACAAATAGGAAACAAGTGGTACCACCCAAAGTACCCAATACGGGCTCCGTACTCCGATTCCTCCGTTTCCGTATGGAGATTTGTGGAGAATTTCCCAACGAAGGTCACATCTGTCCCCCCTCCCCCCCCCCTTGGATCTTCCGTTCTAGTCTATTCCTCAACAGGTGGGACCTACCGAATTGTACGCTGTAATCTCCAGAACAACTTTTTTTTTTGTGTACGCTGTACACTACAGTACACTTTCAGACCAATTCCCACCTTTTCCATAATCTCTCTCTTTCTTACCTTCAGTTCAAAATAATCCCCCTCCTTTTTCCCCTTCCTCTCTCTCTCTCACACACACATCTTCCCTTAATTCAATCATCACATCATGTCCGCCAAATCTATCCTCGAGGCCGACGGCAAGGCCATCCTCAACTACCACCTCACTCGCGCCCCAGTGATCAAGCCTACCCCTCTCCCTGCCTCCGCAACACACAACCCTCCTGCCCGCCTCGCCTCTCTTCACTTCCCCGATGACAAGGCCGTCAAGGATGTCCTCGACCAGGCTGAGGTCTCCTTCCCTTGGCTCCTCACCCCCGGCGCTAAGTTCGTCGCCAAACCCGATCAATTGATCAAGCGTCGGGGTAAGAGCGGTCTGCTCGCCCTGAACAAGACCTGGACTGAGGCCCGGGACTGGATTGAGGCTCGTGCCACCAAGGATGTAAAGGTTGAGACCGTCACTGGTGTCCTCCGCCAATTCCTGGTCGAGCCCTTTGTGCCTCACCCCCAGGAGACCGAATACTACATCAACATTAACTCCGTCCGTGAGGTAAGCTTTCCCCGCAGTTTCGAGCCCAATCGAAGAAAAATGGTAGCTAATAGTCCAATTCTAGGGTGACTGGATTCTCTTCACCCACGAGGGTGGTGTTGACGTCGGTGATGTCGATGCTAAGGCCGAGAAGCTGTTGATCCCCGTCAACCTCAAGCAGTACCCCTCCAACGAGGAGATTGCCGCGACCCTGTTGAGCAAGGTCCCCACTGGTGTTCACAATGTCCTGGTTGACTTCATCTCCCGCCTGTACGCCGTCTACGTTGACTGCCAGTTCACCTACCTCGAGATCAACCCTCTGGTTGTCATTCCCAACGCTGATGCCACTTCCGCTGACGTTCACTTCTTGGATTTGGCCGCCAAGCTCGACCAGACCGCCGAGTTCGAGTGCGGTACTAAGTGGGCTATTGCTCGCAGCCCCGCTGCTCTGGGCTCCCCTGTCCTCGCCTCGGCTGATGGCAAGGTCAGCATCGACGCTGGCCCGCCGATGGAGTTCCCCGCCCCCTTCGGTCGTGAGCTGAGCAAGGAGGAGAAGTTCATCTCCGACATGGACGCCAAGACCGGTGCCTCGCTCAAGTTGACCGTCCTCAACGCCAGCGGCCGTGTGTGGACCCTCGTCGCCGGTGGTGGTGCTTCCGTCGTCTACGCCGACGCCATTGCCTCCGCTGGTTTCGTCAGCGAGCTTGCCAACTACGGTGAGTACTCTGGTGCCCCCACCGAGACCCAGACTTTCAACTACGCCCGCACCGTGCTGGACCTGATGCTGCGTGCCCCCACCCACCCCGATGGCAAGGTCCTCTTCATCGGTGGAGGTATTGCCAACTTCACCAACGTTGCCAGCACCTTCAAGGGTGTCATCCGCGCCATCCGCGAGGTCGCCCCCGTCCTCAACGAGCACAAGGTCCAGATCTGGGTCCGCCGTGCCGGTCCCAACTACCAGGAGGGTCTCAAGAACATCAAGTCCGTCGGTATCGAGCTTGGCCTCGACATGCACGTCTACGGACCCGAGATGCACGTCAGCGGCATCGTCCCCCTTGCCCTCCAGGGCAAGAAGAGCGACGTCAAGGAATTCGGCGCATAAACAGTTTAATCCTTATTTGATGTTTGTTCTTTGCAGCGTGTGTCCGTTGCATCGGTTTGTGGTATAATGCATGGCATGATATGACTTGTTTTTTGCGGGATTCCGGGGGAGATCTGCGGATGTAGATATCACCCCGGCGTCTGTCCTATTTTGCTGAGGGTATGGCGTTAATTCCCGCCCGGGCGTAAAGACCCGGTCCTTCTGGTGTCGACGTACATGATTCTCCGTTGATTAGATTTCATTTTCCTATGTTCACTCCCGGCGGATTTAGATCGTGTGATGTCCCGTCGGATAATATCAATGATACGAGACGTTTATTGTCCCAGAATTATTTTACTATATGTAAACGTAAAGTGGATAGATCAGATAATACGTATGTACAGTCAGCTACGATATGTCCAATGTGAGTTGAGTATTTGAAGCAAAATTAAGAGCAACCCAGTTGCAAAAATACGAGTGTAATTTATTACAAAGATATACCATATGTAATTTTGAATAAGCTCAAATCCAGGACCCTGGAGACAAAACAAGCTCCCGCATCAGACTCCACACAAGCTCCTCTGCACCCCGGATTGACAGGGACATCAGGTCCCACGATCAGATCCAAGGATAAAGTAGGGACCGTGCTGGAGTTGGGGACCATACCGAGGTGTGGACGTGACTTCCGTTGCCCCGAGATTAGGGCAAGATAAGCCATCGGACGAGCGGGGACTAACTTGGACTTATATTGAAAAAGGATTAGTGCCTACAGGGCTTGGGTTAGGGTTGAAGAGTGGTCTACTAGGATATCATAGGCGTGTTATTTAATGTAGGTTGTTCTTTATTGTATGGGGAGTTGGTAAAGGGTGGAAGGCCCTGCATAGTTCAACATACGCGTGTAATTTGATTTCAAGGCTTCCAAGCTGCGGTCATAGAGCCCTGGAGCCCTGGAGGGATGCAATTATTTGTATATAGCACCATAAAATAGTCATGTTATTGGCCTTATTATGTACCAGACAGAGGATGATTTCTCTGGTTTAGACATGCTCTTCTTTACTTGGGAAATGCGTTTGATATTGACATGTGCCCGGGCCACATTATAAAGAAGGCAGGTAGGTCATAAGTAACCTACACAGCTATGTAGAGTCTACATGTGGCATATTGTAAAAAAGAAATAGAAAAGAAATAATCATTCAATGGGTTCGAAAGAGGGTTGCCTAGATTAAATATATACTTGCTACATAGAGGTCTACATATACAGAACATGTCACCTCCAGCTGTAGTTAAGTATATATCTTGCTCGGTTCCATGTAGATTGCTACAAGATGTTCAATTATTAATCAGCGATAGTATTCGATCACCATGACAATTGACGCACTCTCCCCCACTGCAGGGTACGCTTCTATGCTTCAAGTGATATCCCTCCTAACTGTTTCGTTCTCAGTGGCCTTGATATTCTGATCGAGCGGGTATCCCAACAAGTTGAGAAGCTTAAAAAGCTAAGAAAGGTCTAAGTCACAAGGATCAAGGATATTCGAAGGAATCAAGAATACAGCTAGATGAAGTGTTGCATTGCCCCTTGGGACAAAACAAAGTCCCCAAACACCATTTGTCCACAGCTGTTGCTAGTATTCGTCAATAGGACAACATATCTGCGAAAAATGTTGGATTCGTGAGTTTGGACTATAGAATGGTGAGGACAATCCACGCCAATTCTACTTGCTGTAGGGGAGACCAGATGGAAACCCTGCTCGGACTTCTCGCCTCAACGAACCGGATGGATTGAATTACTGACCGACCAGCATGATCGTTTACTAGGAAGAGTAACCTTCAGGTCATTTCAGAATTCGCCAAATCTTCTCAGGTTCGTGTATTCGACTTATTTATTCACTTGGGTTCGGGAAACTGCTGATTGAATTTGCCGTAGTAATGAAGAAGTGGCACAAGCTCTCAACGACGGTGAAATAGAGTGGGTTCGACCCACCAAAAGCCCGAATGTTTAAAATACTGCCCTTAATTTGGTGAATAAATGCGATGTGTATGAATATGAATGGATCAATGCAAAGAATAGAATACTCGATCGATGAGTCCGAACCAAGTGAGTAGGATATGGATATATAACCCGGGGCGTATATACATCGATCGATTCGGGTTAGCACCATCAGCCACCAAAGTTACCCAAATATGGTTAGTCTGTAGATTCCCGTCTCCAGGGTCTTGATATCTGCCCAGGTGGTTTCGTCAACCCTAGAGGTACGAAAAGTGTAGGAGTTGTCAATTCCATAGCCAGAAAAGCTAATAGTAGATAGTATGACTAGCGAATAAATGGTAGAGATATTGGAATTAATCTGTGTATGATATCTCAAATATTAACCAAGAGATGATGGCCCATCATGGACCTACTCCGTGCAAACGCTCCGATCCACCAATCAAGTAGTAATCTCATACACATCAGCCCAGTTCCGCTCGGTCCCTAATTATATCCCTCATTATATCACTCACGATGATTTAGAAACCAAAAAAAAAAAAAAAAAAAAAATCTTCACTTTATTTTATCCTCAACAGCCATGGATCAGTATCAAACAAACGGGCGGTTGCTCGCTCTCTCCATCCTCCAGGGTCTCATCCCCTGCGTTGTCCTAGTCGCAACACCTAAACGATCTGCTCTACGTTATCTGTGTATACCATGTATGATATGGATCGTGTCTCAAATGATGTACCCTGTCCAGGCACCAGGGTATACATCCACCAATCTCCTCGGAAACTCTGCAACCTTCGTCTTGACAGCTCTGGATCTTCTGCTGATCAACCCCCAAGCCGGGCGCGAATTCGCCGACGCAAATGGGAGCACTAAGAGCTTCTTATCTCGTCTAGTTAAGGCTGTTCGGCTGCTCACATGCACCCGAGCAATCAACACACCCCGACAAGTGAAGAACGTCCCACCATTTCCGGCATACTACAATAAGAGACACCCGAAGCTTATCCCGCGAGGTCGCTTTCTGGTCAGAGAAACTGCTATTGCTGTCTGGCAGTTTCTAGTTCTAGATATATTCAGTGTATTGGCCTTGAGACAGGCTATGAATGACCAAGACGAAGAATCGTCAGTTTCCTCTGGCCTTCGATGGGATATTCCGGGACGAGAGCTGATAGCACAGGCTATTCAGACTCTCATCACTTGGCTTGTTGTGTCTCGGATCCTGCTCAGCTTCTACTACCGCGTCGCTTCGATCATCTTTGTGAGCCTGGGGGATTCTCCCTCGAATAGCCCGCCGCTTATCGGGAGAATGGCGGATATATATACACTACGGAATTTCTGGGGGTGAGTCGCTCTTATGTTTGTTCGTTTGGTTAGATCTAATTTCTATGGTGCTTACAGAAAATTCTGGCATCAATTGCTACGGCTGCCCCTCACGTCGACTAGCAACTTTCTCACGCGCGATGTCCTTGGTCTGCCTAGATCGTCCTTTGTGGAACGTTACACCAACGTGTTTATCGTTTTCTTTTTCTCCGGCTTGACCCACGCCATACTTGATAGGCTGCGAAACGTTTCACCATGGGACTTTTGGACTATGTCATTTTTCCTCTCTTTCGTTGTCGGCTATATGATTGAAGACGGTGTCCAGGGTCTCTGGAAACGAACGCTGGGTTCCCAGAACGGTATCGGCTTGCCGGTGTGGTGGCAAAAGGCCGTTGGATTTTGCTGGGTCATCACATGGCTGGGGGTTACATCTCCTTGGTATTTTAGGTCGGCGATGCTAAAGCCGGAAGAACAGATGGTTTTGATTCCTTTCAGCATTGCTGGGCTCATTAGGCTTTCTGTGTTGAAGAGTATAGTTATTGGAGGTGGTCTTGTGTTGAAGTTTGTGTTCGAAGGAGAGATTTAAAAGGAGAGGATGTGGAATACGTCGAATTTATCGAAGTTTCTCTAGCTAGACCAGTATACCCTTCCAAGGCTGCATGGCAAGAGCAAAGCATGATATTTTGGGATTTTACTGTAGGAGTAGCAACTATTCTCTCTGGGACTTGCTGTGGTGCAACCTCAACCCTTATCGTTGTGGTAAAAATCAGTACTCGTGACAGGTAGTATTGATCCCATTTCCGTGGATCTAGGGACAGGAGTTCGTGATCAACTACCTTTCTTGACCATCGTTCACTCCTATCAGAAATTCTGGACGTCGCAGAGGAAGGTCATTCTCGCAATGGTCCAAGAGAGGTGCTCTTCGTCAAGGCAGATGGGGTGGTGTGATGTTGACTAATGAGTAAGGGGAAACCTTCCAAGGTTAGAAAAGGGGCTCTATGGATAATGTCCTAGGCATGTAGTTGGACCATTTTTGAGATTAGAGGAAATTAGAGGATATAAGAGAAGATTGGATTAAGAGATCAACTGATACTGTCCGATCTGTGAGGCCAGGGCCTTGGGGTTACAGTCCTATTTCAACGCAACATCAACCTCAGTAATCTCCACGGTATTAGTGGAACTTTGCTGTCTCCTAGTAACCCATGCTCCATTCTGCGGGTTGTACTCAAGAATGTAGAGGCCATCTTCGTTGCCATTATAATCATGAACAATCTCCAGATTTGGCTCATTGTAGTGCCCCATGAATTCAAGATCGAGCTTCAACTGCGCACCAGGTCGGAGCGATTCACGCACATGAATCACATACGGTTCTGTGCGCACTACACGTCTGCTCCCTTCAAGCCTGACAGACTGAAGAAACGTGACAGGAGTCCCATCACTGTCAACACCGGTAACTGTAACCCGGTGTCGATCGTCTTCCTGTGTTTCCACGTTGACCACAAGACGCCGTCGTAGGATAAATGGTGGGATTGGCAGGTCCAGCTTCTCCATTACTTTCATCATCAGTGTATCTGCCTCGGAAAATATGCGAAGGTCACAGAGTTCATCGATGGGTGTTCTCTGGAGATTGCATATAGCGAGCTTAGCTCCTTTTTTCTGGCCGACAATCTCGGGGATCCCGTTTGCTGGGGTCACGGTTAACGAGGATCCCAGGACGAGACAAAGATCGGCATGTTGGGCATTCTCCCACCCGAGATTTAGGTCTCGGGCGGGCAGCTGTTCGTCAAAGTTGACGATGCTGTCTAACAAGGTTCCCCCGCAGCGGGCACATTTGCGACCGGTGCGGTGGTCGTGGTCACCCCTCTGGTAAGTCGAGACGGCGCGGAAGTCTACCAGAATATCAGCAAGAAATTATTGAACGGGACTCTTCAGTCTGATTTACCCCTCATGTATTCTTTGTCACAGTCTTTGCAGTACTCACGGTTGCTGTTCCCGTGTAGTTCAGAGATCATTTCCTTCGCCAAGTCAGCCAGGAACCATCACAATCCACAATTGGGCAGAGTATAAACTCACAGGCAGAATGCCACTCCTTCTATGAAGCCCATCACAGTTCTGGCTTATCAGATGCTTCAAAACGCCCCGGTTCTGCAGCTCGACAAGGGCCATATGAGACGGGGTGGGGATAGCTTGCAGCGTGTTGGCAACGTTGGTCTGCTGCTTGCCTTGAGCCCTTAGGGTCCAATTGCCCTCTGGACCGCGAAAGTCGGGGATTCCTGCATTTGTGTGTTAAAGAAAAAACTCGTGTAGAAGTCCTAGGCCGCACTCACCCGCGGAAGTCGAAACTCCAGCACCTGTAAAAACGATGAAGTGCTTGCTCTGCTTGATTTGGGCCGCTAGAGCCTCGACTTTCTTGTCAACTACAGCAAGTGACTCGCGATGCTCCTTTTCAGCCACTTTGGGCGCGTTGTTGACCATGTTGAGTTAATCTCAAAATTTGTGAGGTGTTCTGTATATAACCAGAAGAACAAACTGGGGGGCGAGTGTACTATATTGCGTATAGAAATACTAACCATAATCTTAAAATATGTTAAGAAGGGAATGTACAAGACCGAAAGAAACATTGTTTTGACTACGGGGCATAATCATGCGGCTCTGTTGTGGAGCCTCTGCTCTACATGCACAGTGCAACACCTGAGCAGAGAAACTTCATGGAAAATATGCACCCCAAATGTCGTTGTAAGGCAGGAAACAAGAGGACACCCTAGAAATAAGAATCAAGTCTAGGGCGGCATAGGTCGTCTGCCTGAGTACACTCGGCTCGCCCGTTGAAACCTTTGGTAATATCATCGACGGGATCCTTCCGTCCATACAGCTGGAGCACCACCTTGAATTTCTTCGTCAAAAGCCACCGAATATCCTTATTTAATTTTAATAGAAAAAAAGGATGGACCGGTAGAAGAGAAGAGCGATCTCACACCAACATACACGTATATATGGGTTTGAAACGGGAGTTTGTTGATTGTAATGCAAGTAGTATGTAGGCAAAAATAAGAACTTCCATTTGATGCCCGTGAATCGAAATCATACCGAGCTTGAAGAGCTTCAACATACAACATCAACATCCTGATTGAAAGGTGGATAGAAATATTAGCTCCGTATTCATACAAATACCCCCAACCAACCGATAATGATCAACGTCCAAACCGCTGCGTAATGGCATCGCTGGGAGGAAGCTCGGATGAGACAGTCGGAGTCCGAGAAATGCGTGGAAGTCGAGTACGATGCTGGGGAGCGGGATCTGGACCTTTGCCTAATCAGAAGCACATTAGCCGGAATGCTCTGGATACTGTAGGCCTATGGCTTAATACATACTATTTCGCCCATTCCAATTTGGCCGAGCAGGGGGCGGCATTGGGGCTTCGCGAGGTGTCCGCGTCGTGGCCCTTTTGGAACTGCCAGTGCCGCTTCGTTGGTATCGGTGAAGCTGCTCGACCCCGTCTTGGTTGACGGGGAAAGTGGGAGTCTTGGGGTTTCGTGTAACTGGGACCGGAGGCAGCGCTGGGACTTCCCGGGTAATGGAGACAGGGGGAGGAGCATTGAGCGATGAGAGAGTCTGGGAGACTGTGTCCGAGGCTGCGGTCTGCATTCGGGATCGCATGGCACGAGCTTTGAGGAGGTTGTAGAGATTGGTCATTTGAGCAAGTTTGTTGTTCTTGTCACGGTATATATCATTCAGTTCTTGGTTTTTCTTTTGGAGGTCTTCTTGGGAGGATTGCATCTCTGCAGTATGGAATTGTCAGCCGGGTGTCCAAGTAATATTAGGTTCAATTGGACCGACCGGATAGCTTATTCTGCAGTGACAAGATCTCCGTGTTGGCATTGTGGATGACCTTGTCCATCTGCGTGTTCAGGTTGGCATACTTCTCCGTAAGCGTCTTCGCTCGATATTCCTGGTAGAAACTGCTCAAGTTAGCCTCGGATAATCCCATGGTTCCATTTGGTACTGGGGAAATGTGACAGACATCTCTTGTGTACTTTGATATGCCCAAAACGCAAGTGCACGACCAGCACATTCCATGATTGTGTTGGGATCTAACCCACTCAACACGCTTGTTTTGTAGTCCTCCGTCGGATTCAGGATCGTGGAAACAGCGTCATCTGGATTGAGGAGTACCGTCTGACAGGCAGGACAGAGCCGATTGCTGGTGGTTGGACGAGAGAGCCCGAGGCTCTCTGCGCATCCATGACAGAAGATGTGCCTGAAATCATCAACCTTTGGGCCGAAGCTGATCCACGAGAGAGCAACTTACGAGCAAGTTGTCACCACTGCTTTCTCTTTCAATTCTGCCCGACATTTGAGGGAGTTGCATCTTAAAGAGAAATCCATGGCGTCGTTGGCGATCGGATTCAGTTGAAGAGAACAAGAAGTGAAGGTCACGAGTTAGACTTTGAGATGTCATTGGTTTAGTCAACACCAAAAGGAAATATTGTAATGAAACAACAACTTGGTCAGAAAGCATGTGGTATTTGTCTATTATAGTGATTATTTTCATAAAATTTTGGGCGAGCTAGAAAAAGAAGGTATTTCCTTGGGCATCGCGCCGTGTTGAAGTCATCTTCTCTTCAAACTCTTTCCCGGGTTCATACTCGTGCCACAGACTGGCTGGGTAAATGTGCTTGTTTTTCTCATACCACCGTCGATCTACGACCTTGGTTTCTGAGAAATCCTTGTCTGCACCCTCTAGTTGATCGTCACTAGGTCGGGACAGCGGATCATCGGAGGAATTGGCAACAGGGGGCTTGTTGGAATAATCAAATAGCAAGCCACCAGCTCGAGAAAGACTGGGCACTCGATTGGCGATGAAGTAGTAAAACTCGTAATGCTGTGGAATATTAGATGAAATACTTACCCAATGAGAATTCGGGTGGACTTACATGCGGAACAATAATATCGCCCTTGACAAGCATCAAGTCATCGACACTGACTCGTGCCCACTCGCGGCGATTATCTTTCTTTGCCTTGGATGTACCGCTGGCACCACGTACGCCCATCTCAGCACCAACCTTCCGGCACCGATCCAAGAACAACCAGACGTGGTCACCCTTTTTGACTTTGACGGCCCCAGCTGGTATACTCGTTCCATCATAGAAGACGAATGGAATGAGAATATCGGTATTCTTCACAGCCTCCTGCATGATTAAGAACTCCTTTCGGAGAGTGTCGCGAGCCAGCGCTTCAGCTTCCAAGGATGCCTTTGTCAAGGCTTTGGGTGGAGGGGGTGCGTTCGGGTTTGCTTTCATCCGTCGCGTAGTGCTATCCTCGCCAGGTGTTTTAGAACCTGACCGTGATACGCTTGAGTCGCGTGGGGTTGCTGCGGATTCCTCTCCCTCATCTTGGTCGTCGCCGAATGATAGCTTGCTTTTTGCCAAAGCCTTCTTTTTCTTCTTTTTCGGGGGACCGTCACTCCGGGAAGGTGTTGACCTGTTGCGCTGCGATCAGCTCAAATGAACGGGAATAAAAATCGAGGCTCTTCACTTACACGTCAGTCACATCGCCTGCAGAGGGAGTTGCGCTTCGTGAATTACCAGATGCCAGTAGCCCCAGAGACTTGTCATGCGCCTCGCGCTCTTTTGCCTCTAGAACATCCGCGCGCCGCTTGCGAAAGTCGGAGAGATGAACCAGACCGACGGTTTGCTCTTTGAGCATCTCCTCTGCGGACACGGTTTGGCCGGCGAAGGACCGTGGAGTGGAGGTGTTACTCCCCTCTTCTTCTGCCATTTTGGATTGCGAGATATTAAGCTTAGATTTGACTACTGAGGTGAGAGAATCTATTTGGCCGGTGACGTCTGATAACCAGCACGTGACCTTGAATTTCTGACGCTTCCAAGTATATTGTACGAGGCCAAATTTATCAAAGGGATTCAGGCCTTTAAAAATAGAAGAATATCGAATCTATCATCTGTGAGCTACTCGATATTCTGCGTTACATCAGAATCCAAGATATTCCGTATACTCTTTTGCACGACTCAACTCTGAAACGGTTCAAATGCACACCGCTGCAAACAAGACAAACCCGGTTCCCATGCGCGCAACCTTCGATCTCGATCCTCTTTGGTACAACTTTCTGCAGTATTTACCCGTTGAATTGAAATTCAGAAACCATGGACGAAGAAGAGGACGACTTCTATGATCCCGTCGACGCGGTGCCGACAACACAATCGCTAAACCACACACAAAATGCAGCTCCAGGCCAACCGCAGGAGAGCAATTACATGGAAGACGACGATGAGGTAGAAGAGGAAGAGGAAGATGATGTAGGTATCATGCTTGCAAGTAGATGCAATTTTTCCTTACTAACTTTACCTGCAGGATGACTTCAATATTATCACAGAAGCACCTGAAGGCGCACCAGCTCCCGAAGCGTAGGTTAGCTACCATCGCGCTCCCTGCACTCTTGCTGATCTTTCTAGCTCTCACCCGCGCCATGCAAGCTTACGACAAGAACCACAACGGCCATCCTCCGCCGACTCGTCGGTTCTGACAAGGTCCGCGACGCCATCCGCGACTCCTCGGTTAGAAACCGCGACTCCGATTCCTGGAAACTCAGCGGCAGCGGCAGCCGCAGCGGCAACCGCAAGACCCTCCTCAGAAAAGCCAGGCTCGGCTTACCCAGCCATCCACAGCTCCACCATCGACGTCAATGCAAACCCCATCCACCCCATGACAGGGAAGCCGATCATGTCCACGGACATGGATGCTGACTTCCCATCCGACGACAAGCCCTGGCGCCGACCCGGGTCAGATCTTTCCGACTATTTCAACTACGGATTCGACGAGTTCACATGGGCAGGATACTGTCTCAAGCAACAAGGTGTGAGACAAGAAGTCGGCAGCCAGAAGAGACAGATGGACGATATGCAAGCCTTCATGGGCATGGGAATGCCCCCGATGCCTAGTGCACCGGGCCCCGCTGCTCCGGCTAGTGCTGCGCCGCCCATGGCTGGCATGCCCGGTATGCCGGATATGAACCCAGATATGATGCAGGGCATGCTGGCCAGCATGATGTCCCAGGGCTTGGACCCGTCTAATATGGATCCCATGGCTTTCATGCAGCACGCTCAGTCTATGATGCCCGGTGGCGGTCAGCAGAATCAGCCTGGCTTCGGGGGCCAGCCCCAGGGTCAAGGCTTCAACCAAGGTGGCCAGGGTCAAATGGGCTACGGCGGATACGATCAACGTGGAGGTTATGGGGGCCGAGGACGTGGCCGAAGATGGTAGTTTGATATGGAATTCGTATCATTGTGATGTATCTTCGGGTTCGCACTCGAAATAATGGGATCTCATGGCGTTTCATGCATACAAAGGGAATGGCAATGACACTGGACAATTTACCAATTCAAGCTTCTTCCGTGCCGAAGTAAAGCTGTAGGTCGGGGAAGTGTACAATCATATACAACAATACCTAGACGGATGAGTGTACTAATCATGCTACTAAAAAAGTAGCAGTGAATATCTAAACATCAATAAATAAAATATTAATGTACCTATGTATTCCCTAGAGAGACCAATTAGTCCATGGGGAAAAGGGAAAAGCTGTTCGGAAGAAGCTCATGGTTCGGTCTTGGCATTCTGGAAATTTCTCCAGTCAGATCTTCTTCCCCCGGACCAGTTCCATCTTCTTCCCTTCTCCATCCCCATCCTCAACTCATCTTCTCAGCAATCTCCTCCCCCTTCACAATGGTATGTGATATATCCCGATTGATTCTACAATCCGAAATTTTCCTATTTCCCCAACTCCCGGAGGCTCTACCAGCACCTCCACGCCCAACTTTTTCTTCCTCCAGGCCGAGTCCGGATACCCGAGAACCCGCGCAACGCGCGCAATTCCCCAATTTAATTCGGTCGTCTCACTGAGAAACACAATCACTAACTCAACTACTTACTAGTCTGTCCTCCGCAACATCAAGTCCCTTGCCCCCCTCCTGGACCGCGTCCTGGTCCAGCGCATCAAGCCCGAGGCCAAGACTGCCTCCGGTATCTTCCTCCCCGAGGCTGCCGTCAAGGAGCAGAACGAGGCTCAGGTTCTCGCCGTTGGCCCCGGTCTTCTTGACCGCGACGGCAAGCGTCTCCCCATGGGTGTCGCTGCCGGTGACAAGGTCCTCATCCCCCAGGTATGTTGCAACAATTCCCTCGGATGCCAATACATGAAACTATATATGCTAACGTATACCTGTTCAGTTCGGTGGTAACGCCATCAAGGTCGGCGAGGAGGAGTACACCCTCTTCCGGGATCACGAGTATGTTTCACCCCTCTCCCTTTCGGTTTTCGAGAACAATAAATGGAAACTAACAAACCCCCTAGTATCCTGGCCAAGATCAAGGAGTAAATCAGTCCCCCAAGACAATATTCTTATATGATTTTTTTTTGTTTCGCCGCCATCTAACCTCCCTCTGTCATGTCGACACCAACTCTCCGTTTCGCTGTAAAATCGCGACGGGGATATTGGAAGACCCCTGACGTGTATCATACGCGACGTCATGAGCTTGACCTTTCTCAACGATCTCAAGAACACCGACCAAGGAAAAAAATAACCAAAAAATAATAGTGAATAGGGATGTTCTCACTGAGTGATATTTGGCATTTGATTGTTTAGGTATCATGTCAGTTGTGGCTCCTATTTTGGCCCGTCTTTCTATTTTGCATGAGTTTTTGAAGCGCTGGATTGGCCTTGGGTCTTGCATGTCTTTGTCCACTGTACTTTTAAATTAAACTGCGGCTTACCTTCTCCCGGTGCTTATGCTGGGGTGGGTAGTCGGTAATTGCAGACTTGATCATCTCCTCTCCATTCTTTTGAGTATTCCAAATCTCTTTATTGAGTGCGATTGGTATGTTCCTTTCTAGATATCTTGAAGGTCCATTGTCAAGTGTGCAGTAGAGGTAACATTTTGATAGACTGAATCTGATTATCAATACTGATTCTCGGCACGCAACGGTTAATATCTACAACTTCCTACCCCCATCTTGCTAATGATGAAAGCCCATATCCCCCAGATAATCAAGGCTGATCTGAGTACCGTAGATATCCTCACTGTTAGTCTCATTCTCATCGGAGCTCGAGTGCGACATTGATTCGATCGCTTCCGACACCTTGCGCATCTGCTTGTTACCAAGATGGGGCCCGTATTGCATAACCCGCTCCAGGGGGCCCATATTAATAAACACATCGAAAGCCCTTGAATCTGTGCTGGCGCTGGGAACTGTCTCATGAATGGGGAGGGGGGGTGGGTCTGGATTGGAGCCAGGATATTGCTGGAAACCACCAACGCGAACGTTATCCAAGATAAAGCGCGCCCCGAAAGGATTAATTCCCACATCGCCGAGTGCGACTTCATAGTCTGACTCCTCTTCTGTGATGTTTTCGATACTTCCAGGGGGAAACAATTCGTATCGAAGTCTACCCATACCGAAACACCACAATACAATGGATGCCGAGTCGTTCGGAATCGGTATCAGTAATGTTGTGGACCATTCCCTGTAGGCATCACAAAATCGAGCGAGTGAGGGAATTTCCCTTCTCAAGGGGGAATTCGAAACTTTGCTGAGGTCTGCGCTTTCGGGTTTGCAGATGAGAACAACCAGAGCCCTATATCGATGCATGAGGCAGAAAATCTTTTCCCTGAGCGGGGAGTTAAGTCCCTCGATTCCATCAAGCCTTGCATCCCTTGGACCATGCCCTGGAAGATATCGCTGGGTCAGCTCATGGGGGGTTGTCAGAATAATCCCACTATCAGGTGCCGGAGTGATTTCTGCATCGTAGTGGTATCGAGAATCCGAGTATGCGTCCCCATAGTCTCTGTACGTCAATTTGGGTGGATTCTCTGGCCACCTCTCCATATCTCGTACGACTGATAGGTTGGTTGTTAGGAGGGCAGTAGACAAAAAGAACATCGGTGGCGGGTCGAATGCCGATTGGGTCACCATTTCCTGTATTTCGAAGGTAGGGCTCGGCGAGTGAGAGGGTTCCGGTGGTGTCTTAACGGGGTCTGGAGAACCATCCCCCACGAATGATGGGACACTTGAGGACTGGTCTTGTCCACTTCTTGTGGATGTTGACAGGGAAAGGGATGATAGATTATGCGACGAGGTAACATATTCTCCATCACTGCCTCTGGTTTCCATAAATAGGGCGAGAGATCCGAGGCCACCAAACACTGTTTTAGATGATTTCGGGGTCTTTGCATAATCTACGGAAGAAACAGCATGTGGAGGCTTGAAGGCGCTTTTTCTTAACCCTGTGGAATGCAACTTGTAGCCCAGTTTCATACGAAAGAGCTCCTCCCGAGAGATGCAAAAGGTTCTCTTGTCCACGGATGAGGAAGTCTGTGTTGCCATAGAATTGAGGTTTTGCTCGTACAGAGTGTGGAAGAAAACATGGTTATCATTTGCGTTCTGTGAATCTCGGGCTAGCTGAGTGATATCCTGATCGTTCGGTGGCTGAGTTATTGAGGAACTCGAGCAGGCACCCTTTATCACATGTGTTCCTTCATGAAGTGCACTGAAAGAAGCAGCCGCGATTCCCTTCGGTGCACAAGGTATTCTTGTATCCGCCACAGGCTTCAAAAAAGCCTTCATTTCTTTCTTTTCCTTCAAATCCCTGGGTGCTTGCGCTTTCTGGCTGTCAACCCTGCCAACGGAGAATCCTTTTTCTTTTGTCAGATTGGGGGAAACAGTAGTGGGGGTGGGTTGCGCTTTTCTGTATGGACTGACTTCAAATGAAGGTACGGAGGAAGTGTTATCAAAAGCAACTGCACTGAATTCGCTTTCGGTGGGATGCTTGTATTCGTTAGCTACTCCTTGTATCAATAATTATCAGTCGGGTACTCACCTCAGAGCTCTGTACACTTGACGCATAACCCTCGTTTTCCTGGTCTTGAATAGAGGGAGCATGATCAGTCTCAATACTGATAAACTGATGCACGTTTCCTGATGGCCCCGCGATGAAGGGTACAGCATCTCCTGCAAGATGGGATGTCGTCGGAATATTCGAGGACTGGGCAGCTACAGTTTCAGGCGCAGTAAAGCCTTCAACACTGTTTGACTGGGACATCCCCGAATTGTAGTGATCAAAGACATCCCGCGTGTTCATAGGAACGACAGGAACATCAGGGCCACTAGGAACAACCAGACGAACTGAAGGGTTAGGCGAAGATGGAGCCGGACTCTGAGCGAAGGTGGTGCGAAACTCGGACGAAGTGACCATTCTCTCATCCACGGTTGTGAGGAGAAGAGGCTCGCCTTTAACGTCAGATGTTGACACTTGAGGCAGGATGCCACGCCAGATGTTTCCGTTGACGGGCTCCAGCTGGAGACAGCTGCCTAACATCTCCATATCCTCAGGTTTAGTCGGGAGCTTCTCCATCACGAGCTCAGTGCAAAAGCGTCGGTCGATTTCTTTGAGGCGTTCTTCTGGATGTTCGGGGTCGAGACCCTCAAGAGGGGGAATGGGAGTTGTTGGCTCACATGTGTTGTCTGCATAGTTGGTTGGACAATATCGAGTGGACTCCTCTGCGACATTATAGAATCTAGCGTACTCAAGAAGAGTTGGCTGGTTGGAAGCCATTTTGCAAGGAAAAGAGAGGGGAGAGGATGGAGATGAGAGATGATGAGGGGAGAAGACTTCTCCAAGGTTGTTTACGAGAGGTAAACAAAAAGAAAAGAAGTGGGAGTTGCGTTGTGAATTGGGGAAGGTACGAGGGACATAGTCTGAATTAGGCAGGCACGAGATATAGAGCAAACAACACCTGGGCAGTCCCAGCGGAGATAGGAGATAGTTGTCCAGATACATGTAATAATAAGAAGAAAAGAACGATAATATTTCGCTGTGATATGTCGCTAATTGCTATGTGAAGAAAAATATAAATAAACTCCAATTACCATGAACCTTTTGCGGCCAACCTAGTCGTTATAGTTCGACTGGCGAGACCCATCCTTGTTGACTGCCGGCAGTCCATACAAAGCATTGAGTTCATCCTCCTGAGACTTCCCAGACTCTTCAAGCACAGGCTTCTCGGCATGAACCGCAACACGCACAGCATGGCGGCGGTGCGGCGTAAAGCCGTAAGAAGCACTGTGGTTGGTAGACCTGTTATCCCAGAGTGCAACATCGTTCTCGCCCCATGAGAAGCGGGCATGCATCTCCTGGGTCGTGGCGATCACATCAGTGAGGTACCGGATGATAGCGTCGCTTTCTGCGGTCGGGATACCGATGATCTTCTTCACGAAGCCAGGGTTGAAGAACAGTCCGTTCCAGCCGGTGACTGGGTTCGTGCGAATAAGTGGGTGTTCAGTGGTGACAGGGTCCCGGCGCACTGGTCGGCCTAGTGCTCGAGAGTCGTTGGCTTGCATATCGGCTGAGTGGACGGCTGTGAGGCCTTTCAAATAGTTTTGCATGTGCGAGGACAACACGTCGTAGGCAGCGTACTGCGAGGACCAAAGGGTGTCGCCACCACCTCCTCGGGGTGGCCCAGAGAGAAGCTTCAGTGATGTGTAGGATGGTGGTTGGATTTCATAGGTCACGTCTGAATGCCATAAGAAACTGGGCGTGAAGAGGGCACGGTTGTCGCCGGAGTTGTCGCCAGTGTAGACGACATGGACGTCCTCGAGACCTGGCTTTCGGGGAACGGATGTGGTGGCATGCTATGTATATTATTAGTATATATACTCATATACATTAGCTCAAAAATTCAGATGTCTTACCTTGTGTAGCTTGCCCCAATATTGGCCCAATTGGCGTTGAGCCTCGATATCGAAGTTCTTCTGGGAGCGGAAAAAGACAACGCCTCGGTATGCAATCAATCGGGCGAGGTCATCCCTCTGTGCGTCGTCGAGCTTTGAGAGATCAACACCGTGGACTTCAGTTCCGATCTTAGGATTGTGATCAAAGACGGCTGTAGCATCCCTCAGAAGGTTGCGGAATTTAGGGTCTCCTCGTAGTCCCTTGTCCTGGTAGGGGGTGTATTCAAGGGGGGGCCAGTGGACGTCTGGAAAGGAGGGCAAGAAATCTTCGTGTGCATAGTTATCATGTTGAGTGACTGGTGTCCGGCCGGGCTGATAGCCAAATTTGTTGTCACTAGCGAGGTCCTGCGCGAGGACAGGAACGGTGAACTTGGCCACGGTTGGGGCCACGGTGACCACAGGCTCTTCCAATGATGGCGCCATCTCTAATGCAAGTGACGATGTATGTAATGAGTAAGATAACGCAAGAATTGGACGAATATGTGAGAACCTTGGATGATAGCAAGGCGAGCTTATTGATATTAAAGTATAAAACTAGGTTTGAATGGAGGGAAGAACCGACTTAATATATATCCAGGCCAAGGACCAAGTCAAGCATGCAATTGATGTGGACCAAGTGAGTCAACCCCAGATAACGCCATTCTGGAATGATTACGGATCTTGCATGCCCCCGGAGTTCACGGAAATGGCGCAATTTCTCAGATTTATCACCTCAGGCGAATCTGATGGAGAAACTAGGCACAAAATAATTGGTTCTAGATGACTGTTGCATTGAGAGAGAGACCCGCTCTCCGCAGAATATTCATGGTGATCACGCAATTTTGCTGACGTTGATGGCGAGACTTTGCCATCTTCATCGAATGAACATAGAAAACGGCTGCTCAGTTGATATACTAGTTCTCACCGCTGTTTCAGAACTATCTCATATCAAGGTCTGTGAACGCGTGTTCAAGGATAGAGAGGTGTTGATGTATATACATTGTGCAGGAAAGTGGAGGTTGAGATTAGGAATGGCGCTAAGGAGGCGATCACGCAAGAGTGGCGGGTTCTTGCGACGGGTTACTCATCAGCCTCAAAGGTTGGTAGTTATGCTTATTTATAGTTGGTAGATATAGCAGCAATTACTACGATATTATAGAATATGTACACAATGTAAAGAGCTTGAATACATTGGATTGGCTCAAAGAATCTGACTTTTAAAATGATCTAAGCCTAGATGGTCTAGCTTGTGTTATGGTTTTACGACGTATGGCTGCATCTTCGGCCTACAACTAGAGCTCAGACTAATGAGATTTCGGAGTTAACAGATAAACTGATGTCATGTTTCGTATGCTGAAGAATCAGCTCCCATAATAATACAGACCAAGCTCGCTAAATTCTCCTATCTATCCCAGATGAAGCCGGCCATCCCCAAGGGACTGTTGCCCAATCGACAGATCTTGTACTTGTTCCGATACATTGCTCAGACGAGTGGCAACGCCCATGATGCCGGCCTCAACATCTGAGAGAACACCGGAAAGTTCGTTGATGGTGGACCGGGGTGTTCCCGCAGCTCCCTCACGAGACTTGGAGCTCACAAAGTCACTGATTTGGCGATTGAGGGTAGCTTCGACACCGTGAAGATGGTCCTCGATTTCTTTGAGGTTGCCGGTATACCTGGTAAGAACTCCTTTCATCTCCTTCGAGCGATGAGAGAAGTAATCGACCAGGTTGACGGGGACTCCATTGACGTCAGTCGATGCGTCACCCTCAACGCCGTCGGGAAGAGCAAGTGTGTTTTTGCGACTCGAGCGCATAGATCGCTCCGGAATCTGTTGATCCTGCACAGACCACCACCCACCGCCAGTTGACTGGTATTGTAGAGGAAGCTTCAGCGTATCAATGGCTCGGAAGGCAACTTGGGCCTCGGCCGCATCCCGCGTAACAAGGCTGCGCAGCCCATCAATGTCACTGGCATCGTTCTCAAGCGCGTGTTGCATGGTTTCCAGTTTGCCTTGTACAAATTCGACATCGTTAGGAATTGTGGCACCCTGCTTTTCGATGGTCGGGAGCAGATCTCCGACCTCATGGCACATCTTCATCTGGTTAAGGATGTGCTTGTCGATAGCTTCGATTTGGCTACGGATCTCATCCGCACAACTCTCGAATTTTGTGGTTGGCAGGAGATTGCTGACGTCAACTTTCACGCCCGGGATCACCGTGCTAGTAGCGGTGCTCTGTTGTAGTGGTTGTGTGGTTTGTGCGGGCGCTGGCTGGCCGAAGAGGGAGAGGGTAGGCTTTTGAGGTTGAGGTTGTTGTTGTTGAGCTGTGCTCTGGCCGCCACCACTGTAAATTATTAGAATATAAGCTATGAGACGGGACAAGCAAAAGCATGGTCACTTACAACAAACCCCCCGTAGCTCCTCCTGTTGATCCTGCCCCAAGTCCGCCGAGTCCAGAAAATGCTGGCTTTGCTTGAGTTTGAGCCGTAGACGCACCACCGCCGAAAAGAGTGCTGCCACCCAAGCCACCGCCCGTTGTTCCTTGAGTCGTGCCGGTGCCAGCGCCAGCAGTCGATGTACCGAACAAATTGCTTGTCCCAGAAGGCTGTGTGGTAGTATTTGCGCCTCCGAAAAGGTTGCTGCCGGTCGCACTGCTCTGCTGTTGACCTCCAAACATGTTGGATCCGGTTGGTTGTGTTTGTGGTGTGGTTCCTGCGGCCGGGGCGCCGAACAAGCCTCCTGCTGGTTTAGGTGCTGTCGAGCTAGCAGCGTTCCCGAAGAGACTGCTGGTATTAGTTGCGCCAGGAGTAGCTGTGGATGTGGCTGTGTTGCCGCCGCTGTTGGTGAGATGTTGCGGTTAGCTTTTTTTTTCTCTGCATGAGACCAAGTGACCCCAGCCTGCGAGCCACGAATGACGAGGATTGGGAGAGGAAAACGAAGCGAATCAGAGCAAGGGGTCAGGCGATAGGTCTGATAGGTGTAATCAGAGACAAAGAATGATGGATGGGAGGACTAACAACAAAGAACTAGTGGTCGTGTTGAGAGAAAGTCCACCTGAGGCAGGCGCCGCTGCCTTGGGAGCAAACATGATTGAGAATATGACGATAGGCTTCAAATGCTTGAATGAAATGGAACCTATCAATTGGGCCCCGTCAATAGGAACAAAGCTGCGCAATTACGATTTGCGGAATGCGCGAAGCTTCTCGGTACTTTGATTATCCGGCCCGGCCATTTCCCTAGCTTGGATTGGCCGTCTACAGCTTTTATACTTCATTTGCATGGCTCTATTTGATACTCGGAAACTACATAGTTTAGTTGGTGCCCCATTGTGAGCCTCAGTGAGATCCCATCCCTGTGACCGCCGATATCTGTGTAGCTTGCGGACTTTTGACCCAATCAATGTCTGACTTCACCTCTTCATTGTCCTTTCGATTCTGGTCTTATTCAGAACTTTCAAGTCAAATGAGCCATTGATCAAATGAGCTGCATTTGAAATATCCAGAAAATACAGCTGTCCAGCCTATCAAACGGTATTTGTCGTTATGGCTGACGAGAATGCTAAAGAGTGGACGCCAGTATGCGTGGCATCAACAAGACGACAAAATGGGAGAGAGTTATCACCAATCAATCCATCACGACTGTCTTCACTTTCATCATTAGCAGTCCAAAGTGAGCCTGGGGCAACATCTGGCGATGAATCCATCAGTCAAGATGCCGATCTGAGCTATTTCAAGAGTGCAGAATGGTAAGACTCTATCTAGTACAGCGACCTATAATCTTAATTTTTACTGACCTTATGGTGTATAGGACCCCAGACGGAACGACTCTGTTGACGGATTCAGCGGATCATTCTATCAGAACATGGATCTTGTAAGTTGGCTCGTTATGCCTACCATTGATTCTTTCACTCACCAGTAAGGCCACCAGATCTACTGGAGGACAAGCCCATCCACCAAATATCCCCATACTCAACTCTGCCCTCAGCAGAGCCGACTTATGCTACCGCAATCTACCCATTCTATAACCTTCAAGATCCATCTAGCACCCTATTTCTGTCATCTGTTCGTGATCATCCAATTCGGCTATCATCAGCCCTGGCTCCTACATCAGTGGCAAGTTACTCTCTGGTAAATCCAATGACAGAAGCATTCATAACACCACACTCAATGATTTACCCTTCCACGATGGGAGGGACCCACTTTCTCACAGGCTCAGATAGCCTCATCTGTCTCTTCGATGTGTCCCGAACAGGAGCACAAGGCCCTGTGTCTTCAATGCCGACTATCCCCAGCAAACGCAAGCAGATTGTTGGTGGTGGTATCGGCATGAAGGGCATTGTTTCAGCCCTAGCTCTGAACCCCAGCGGGGACGGTATCCTTGCTGCAGGTACTTTCACCAGACACGTTGGACTATACAGCTCAAATGGCTCGGGTGAGCTCCTTGGGACTTTCAGTGTAGCAAAGACCAGTGCAAACCGTGACATTGGGGGTCGTGGAGTTACACAGCTTGTCTGGAGCCCCTGTGGCAGGTATCTATATGTCGCCGAGCGTAAGAGTGATGGAATTTTGGTTTATGATGTTCGGGTCACGGGGCAACTGCTTGGGCACTTGCGCGGGCGCAAGGCTCATACAAATCAACGCATGAAAATTGATGTTGTTTCATCTGGTCCTGATGGCTCTCATGAGATTTGGGCTGGCGGTACCGATGGGTTTATGAGGGTTTGGAGGAGTCCAGAGCACTGTGCAGGTGGGAAGGACCCCGATTGGGAGTTTAAGGTGCATGATGGTAAGTCCTTTGACAATCTCCAAGATGCTCAGTGCTGATTTATGACAGATGCCGTGACGAGTACAATGTTTCACCCCATGGGAAGTGTTGTTGCAACCTGCTCTGGGCAACGACACTTTGCTTCAGATGATTCCTCTGACGAAGACATTTCAGCGAAGAGCATTAAGCAGGCAGATAACAGCCTCAAGGTCTGGTCAATGCCATTTCTGTTGTCAGAAACTGAGACAAACCACGACTTAGAGTCTGCAGCCTGAGTCGCGAAAGGAAATTCGATTTTATTGTCAGATTCCGTTGGTATTGGAATGAGATGAAGTGCCAATTGAACAAATCATCAAATTGAGGACCCAGTGGCACGTCCTGGAATGCGAGGGAAATGACTACAAAGAAAGATCATACCAGTGCCACTGCGGTTGTCTCCAATCTTTTTTTTTTTCCGTCACACAAAGAGAACGCCTTGTCAAAGCAAGAGCCTTTGGTGAGACTGTCATGGAATAAGTGTGCTTGCCCTCTTGACAGTCAGAACCAAAATGTTTTGGAGGGCAGTACATCGTAGGTCTCAAGGATTGAATCAATGATATACATACACACTTGTTGTACGGATAACCATATGTTTTTATCCAAACAGTGAACTTGTACAGAGAAACGTTGTAGGTATCCAATAATCACAAGGCCATTAAACCACTGCATGAATGTAAATTATTTTCTAGCTAGATATTCTACCCGCTCATATGTAATGTGTGTTGACATCTAAGAACCAAACCCAATAATATGTACTGTCTCAGAAAACCAGATCAAGTCTTCAGGGAATCCGAATACCATACTTCGCATACGGGAAGTCTTCCAATGTGGAATAGAGCTGACCAAACCCATCACCAATCTTGCCAGGCGTTCCAGAACCCTGTAAACGCGGGGCCTGGAGCTCCTCTGCCTCTTTCTCGGCTTCTGTCTTCTCCTCCTCCTTGTGCGAACCCGTGGCTCCAGCGAGAACCTCTTCCTCCCGGCCCTTGAAGGCTCCTAGGAGACCCGGGTGAGGGCACCAGGCAACCTGCATGCCGGCACGACGACCAGCCTCAACTCCCGGAACCGCATCTTCGAATACGAGACACTCCTCCGGCTTGATCTCTGTCTTCCCCTGGCTGCGCAGCTCAATGTTGATGGTCTCCAGCGCAAGCAAGTAAATATCAGGAAGAGGCTTGCCTCGGCCCTTTCCGATGCGCGGATCATCTCCAAGAACCTTATTAGATTCGGGGAACACCGAGAACAACTCTGTCAGATGGTCGGTCTTTAATTTGTAGTTACCCCTGTGCGATGATGTTGCTAGCGCGATGTATACGGGCTCGTCGGTTGACTTTGTCAACGCAAGGTTAGACAACAGAGTTGGCACACCGGGGAGTGGCTTCGACTGTGGGAAGTAGTGTCGCTGGCGCGTTGATTGCTCCTCCTTGAGCTCCGCCTCGCTTATGGGGAGCTGGGCAAAGTCGTTGAAGATCTTGGCGGCCTAAATATAGCATAAGTATGCGGATACATAACAATATACAGTGTGAGACGAACCTCCGGTTGGGGTCGACCCTGCAACTGTGCCTTGACTGACCAGGGAAGGATGGGTCTGCCGTACTTTTGGAGGATCTCATTCGTGACTATGGTGTACAAATCTTCGGAGTCAATCAACAAGCCGTCCATGTCGAAGAGACATGCTCGGATGCGGGGAAGGCTGTCAACAGAGTCAATTGATGTTCAAGTGCAACCACGATCCATACCCAGGTTCTACTCACTCATTAGTGGAAGCCATGGCTGTATGGTCTGTTTACCGGTGTCAGAGTGGGATGTTGACCACGTTTGATAATTTGATAAGACGCGGGGAATAAACGTTATCAGTCCTATCAGTCCCGTGATTGAACCCTTGGCAACATCTGATATTCTTGGCCGACGACGACCTCCTCACAAAATGAGCAGTCCTTCTAATTCGCCCGAGCGCCAAGGGAAAAGTGCTCCCAATGATGCCGATGACAGTGGTGACGAGGATGTCTTCCACGATGCCCACTTCCCCGCCGAGGAAGAAGCCGTGAGTTGTAACGATGTTCAAGCTTATGACCGGAGCCGTATGTTGACTTCAATCTTCCTCGCAATAGCAACTCTTGAAAGAAGCCCACGAAATCAAATCCGAAGCAAATCAGCTGTTTCTCGCGACCAGCTATGACCAAGCCATCTCCTGCTACGATCGAGCTCTCGCTTCCTGCCCGAGCTACCTCGATTACGATGTCGCCATAATCCACAGTAATATCGCTGCTTGCCATTTGAAATTGGAAGATTGGAAGGCCGCAGTAGACTCTGCATCCGTCTCCATTGAACGTCTGAGCAAGATTATCCCGCCAACCCCACAGGACAAGGGTGACGAGTCGAAGGGGAAACAAATCCCAGAATCCGACAAAAAGCACACAGATGCAGTGGTTGAACTGTCGGGAGATGACGAAGAAGCCGAGTTGAAGGAACTACAAAGATTGCAAGAGCAGGACGAGCAGAGGAGCAAGGTGATGCGACTTCGAGCCAAAGTCCTTATGCGACGCGCAAAGGCGAAGACCCAAATCGGTGGCTGGGGTAGTTTGCAAGGTGCCGCAGAGGACTACCAGGCCCTTGCTGCGGTTGAAAACCTTCCGGCAGATGATAAAAGAGTTGTGCAACGGGCATTGCGGGAACTCCCCGAGCGCATCAATCAAGCACGGGAGAAGGAGATGGGCGATATGATGGGCAAGCTGAAGGATGTGAGTACTTTCTTCGCTGATAATATCTGTGTCAAGATGATAGGCAATACTAATATCGGACAGCTCGGAAATGGGATCTTGAGCCCATTTGGTCTGTCGACGGACAACTTCAAGTTCGTCCAGGACCCGAAGACGGGTGGCTATAACATGAACTTCCAATCCTAATCAGGTTTGACCAATCAGACGCGATGGCATCATGTATCCATCTTACTTTGGGCACCTGAAAGCCCTGAAATGGATTTGTTTCTCAGCATCATATGCATACCCCTGGCAGGAAGCCATGAAGGCGTTCTGGCTTTTGCGCACATCTTGTTTCATATCAACAATACATATCTTGATAGTTAACCAGCTTCAGTCCCTTAATTATGGAGCACGGGAACATTTTATGCCCAGCAGTCCCCCCTTCTATCCACCACAACCTCCTTTGAAGCCATCGCCATGGATACACACAATTACCGCAGCCATACACAGGATTTGCTAGTAGAAGCATCCGCATGTCAAAGGTTATACATACAAAATACATCTGCACATTTTAGGCTTTTTATCCCCTTTATATACACCTAGGAAGACATCAAAGAAGACATAAAAAGAACATTAGAACATTCAAAAGTCACATCAGAGGTTCTTACATATAATATCCCTGATACCATCTTGGACTAAACATTCAAGTCTTACGTTCTTACGTCCTCAATGACAGAGGACACATAAGCGGCCGATTATTCCTGTTAGTGATTAGTCGGGACTGTATTCTTTGACCACAAAGTGATGACAATTTTTCCCATTTGATTTGTATGCATGGGTTTAAGAGGCATGAAACATGTCTAACAAATCTTTGTCGATAGAATCACAGGAGTGTGGTTGCCTTTGACCTCAGACAAGACCAAAATATACTTTGTTAAGCGTTGCATGATATGGAGAAAGAAATATCCAACCCATCCAATTTAAAAGCCGAGCTTTCGCACCCAAAGATTATTCTAAGCAACACAATCTCGTACATCATCAACCATGGCTCTCAAAGTTTTCACCACTGAGTCGATCGGCGCGCAGAGAAACCACATTGCGATCTACATGGAAACCGATCCAAGCGAAGACAGGGGCTGGTTGCACCATGTCACCGGAACAATCCTGAACGGCATGGATTACACACCTAGACAAACACCTGACCCGGAAGGGCTGCCGGAACATGTGCCAGACTCCAAGAAACAGATTGGAATCATTGAAGAAGAAGACCTGGAGAGGTTCCGGGAGGAATGTTGTCTCGCAGTTCTTCCCCCGCGGGCCCAGGTGACCCTCAAGGGGACCCGACTGTATCCTGATATCCCGCTCTACCGCTGTACAGAGTGGCTGAAGGATGTTGAGGAGATGGCTGTCAGGAAGGGAATTTTTAAGCCTCTGTGATGGGTTAGTTATCTTTTTTGTTTCGTGGCCTTCTGGGGGATAACATAATACTAACACAAGTAGTCTGCGATTCCATCCATACCATATCTGGCATTAGGCCGATTGTTAAGTCTCTTTAGTAGGTATCTAGATAGGATTGAAATCGATTATTCTTGTCTGCAATTATCTATCTTATGCAGCCGTTCTTCAAACTATTATATAGGTAAGCAAGCCAATAATGTGCTAAAATAGCTGTACAATGGTTACATGTATATGTGGGAGTATTGAAGTTATATGTTTCTCGAGGTAAGCAATTGAAACTAATATGCTAGTCTAGGGGTTGTTTCTTGTTTTGTTTCCCTTTCAGTTCCCCGTTCACTTGTCTTTTAATTTTGTACCAGTATTGTTACTTCCTTGCGCGTATCGGACGCAAGTGCTAAGGAAGTGGTGGTTGTCGGTTTGGAAAAGGGGATTCGAAAGGGGTATATTCACGCCGGTTGACTTCGCACCTTGTGGTCTACCCCTCTCCGGGGTTTAGTTTAACTGATAGCAGCGGTGCGCTGTGATGGCTAGGGAATTAACCAGGTGACGTATGTACTAGAAGATGTCACCCGGTGCAGTTTCATGAATACTTTTGACTATTTCAAAGCTGTCATCCCTTGATACACTCCATTGTAACCCTCAACCTTCTCACTCATCTGGTGGAACACAAACTGCGCTAGACGCGCAGCAGGATACAAACGCAACCCTGTGGGATTGACAACCTGCATTAATGCCCCCACAGCCCCCTCATACCCACTGTCCATAACGCCAGCATGTATAGTCACGCCGGACCTAAATAATGAGCTGCGAACGAAAATTTCGCCCATCACATCCAGAGGAACGGAGACGGTCTCATTGAATTCCACGAGGTATGAACCCTGCACGAGATCTAAATATGGCTTCGTATTTTCCTTTGACGAGGGAAACGGTATCTCTTCTGTTGAGGCCGGCTGCCGAAGTTGGTTGTCCAAGTCAATTGTTCCGGGCGAGGTCCATTTGAGAACGCGCTTCAGTGTGAGGTCTACACCACAGGGCTGGGCCTGCAGTGTGGGATATTTGACATTGCGGATGATGGAGCGTGTGATAAGTGAGCACCCGGGGAGGATCATGTTTAGTAGGCGTCAGACCCTGGTCTCAGTTTGATCTCCGGTAATTTCTGCTTCTGTATATGTTGAAGTGTTTGCTAAGGGGCACAAGATAACTAGAAAAGAATCGACCAAAAAGACACCGGGCCGCATAAGCGGCTGACTTATTGATGTGATGAATCAGGGGACAAAACAAACAGAGCAAACAAACAAAGCAAATCCATCCTGCAATATTCGTTAACTATTGCCTACCTTCTTAGGTACCTAGGCACGCCTATAAAACCCCCAAACGAGGTGATTATTGTGATTAGTGAACCGAGGAAGCCGAAGGGCCGACAGTCTCCCAAGTTTAAATTTGGTCCAATCAGAACACAGCGCAGGGACGGATTGCGGAGGTCCACATTCAGGTACGGAATACGGATGGAATCCTCAATGCCGAGTTTGGCTTCCGAAGGTACTTTGTATCTAAGTACATTGTATTTTTATCTAACATTCCATTTTAGGGGCTATTTGACTCAATATACTTGGAATCAAGTTCAGTACAATTGATACTATTCCAAAATGCCTACAATTTACCGTTCGCCGTATCCAGATCTGGAGATCAAATCAGTTGACTTGGTGTCTTACCTGTTCTCAAATCCCCTCAACATACCCCTGGACCGCCCTACATACATCAATGCTATCTCCGGAGAGCAATATACCCTTGGAGATGTGATGCAACGTACACATTCTCTGTCCAACGGGCTTCGGCAAAGCATAGGCGTTAAGCCCAACGATGTCGTGGCATTGTTCAGTCCCAATACAATCGATTACCCTGTGGTATGCCACGCAATTATCGGCTCCAGAGCTATCGTTGCCCCGACCAGTGCAGCCCTGACGGCACTTGAGCTTAATGCTCAGCTCAAGACCAGCGAGGCCAGATTCATCATCGTCCATTCATCTTTGTTGGAGACTGCCACCAAGGCAGCCAAGGGGACATCTGTTGAGAAAGTAGTGCTGATAGATGGCCAAGCACCAGTCAATGGTCAACCTACATGCAATCATCTCGCCAGTACATTTGCCCCCGGTGATTTACTCACTATCGATCCGGCCGAGGCAGATCGCCAACCCACATTCATCTGCTTTTCATCCGGAACATCAGGTGCAGCCAAGGGTGTCATTACAACACACCAGAACCTCACCTCCAACCTCCAGCAATGGCGTCACCAAATGCTAGACTCTGGTCTTCCCTCCCAGCGACCAACAAGACAATCCGCCATTGCATTCCTGCCATTCAGCCATATCTACGGGCTCAACCTGTTCATTTGTCAGTGTTTGATTTGGGGCACAACAGTGGTCGTCATGCCAAGATTCGACCTCGATTTATACCTCAGTTGTATCGAAAAATACCGACCAGACGAGTTGGCAGTGGTGCCACCCATTGCTCTGATGTTGGTTAAAGACCCACGGGTCTCCAAATACGATCTCACTAGCGTGCGCAGGATCATGTCTGCCGCTGCACCCCTTACAATCGAATTATCATCTGCCCTCGAAGCCAAGTTCACAGAGATTTCAAAGACAGAGGTATTCTGTACCCAGTCATGGGGTCTGACAGAGACATCGCCAATGGCGACCGCCTTCCCAAATGACCGCATGGATAAGCGGAACACGGGCGTGGGCTGTATTGTGCCGAACATGCAGCTCCGCTTCGTGGATCCCGAGTCCATGAAAGATGCAGCCGTCACATCTGACGGATCCACAGAACCTGCGGAGATCTGGTGCCGCGGTCCGAACGTCGTGATGGGATATTACAATAACGAGCAAGCGACGAAAGATGCGTTCCACGTGGACGAGGATGGAACGAGGTGGTTCCGCACGGGCGATATTGGAACCATCGATCGAGATGGGTATGTCACCATTCAAGATCGCATCAAGGAGATGATCAAGTACAAGGGACTGCAGGTCATCCCTAGTGAGTTGGAAGGAAAGCTGGTCGACCACCCCGACATCGAGGATGCTGCTGTGACTGGAATGTGGGTGGATGACAGGGCCACTGAGCTGCCGGTTGGTTTTGTGGTCTTGAGTCGGCAGGCCAAAGACAGGGATCAGAAGGTTGTCCTTGATGAGATCCACGCGTGGCTGAATGAGCGTATTGCTAACCACAAGCGTCTGCGCGGGGGTATCCATGTCTTGTCGCAAATTCCCAAGTCGCCTAGTGGGAAGATTCTGCGTAGGCAGCTGAGAGATTTGCTGAAGAGTCAAGCGCCTAAAGCTCGTCTGTGATTGAGCGCTTGGGACAATCATTCTGTGTTGATAGCCTGCAACGTGTACAACTAAGTATTCCATGGACATAACTCTCTCATTGGTTAATATTACCAGGCGGAATTTTAGATCCACTATCACTTTACAAGTATGCGGTGTATCCCGGCTAGAGGTTAGAAACTAAATTTTGTTATTGGTAATATTGAAGCCTTCTATGTAAAGAGCCGTCCTACTTTGCTTATCAGAAAGACCAAGTTGGAAATAAGCGTTTTTAACCGTGAATGTAGGGTATGATTCGTATTGTATAGTTATGAGACCCGCCTAACTCCCTATAATTTAAGATGTCTCCTTATTATCCGGGGTGTAATAGTAAGGTATAGAGTGTTATAAAAGGAGAAGATACGCCGGCTTAAAAAAGACATCACAAGGCCGGCTATTCTTGTTAGTTATATGAGGCAGCCAATGAGAGAGAGCTGTCTATGGCATATTTAGTCGCCCGAAGAAAACCTGCATAGATCGTGAAGTAGCAATTCCAACCCCTCAATTAGAAACTCCGGCTTGTTTCTACGTATTCCAAATATCGTTTCACATGGTAGATATACATGCTACATGCTACATGCTATAAGCAGATAAAGCAGATAAAAGTACTCAAAAACGTCGACACGTGAAATCTCGGGAGATTTGCACTCTCGTGGCCCGCGGGTTCCGAGCGGTGATCAATTGACGGAGTCCGACCTTTTGAGACCCAGAGGCTTTTTGAAGTCGGCTTTATGTTCCCTTCCTATCGGATGGAGTTGGTCATCTTAAGATAACCTCACTGCAAATTGCACATACCTCTTTACGTTGCTTTATCTGCTTCCGACGTCGTAGGGGCTGGTCCATTTTCGCTTGAGGTCGATCTGACTAGCTTACGCGGATCACGGTTCCTCCCCTGATTCACACCTCTACTTGCCATGGGTTTATGGACATGGCCCTACTCACGTGAGAAGGAGGAAAAGAGGCCCAAATTCGTCGAGTTAAGGTCGTCAAGATGGTTTATCATGTTCGTCGTCGCCTTTGCCACTGGGACGGACATCTTCATGTACGGTCTTATCGTACCGGTCACGCCAACCGCATTGAAAGACAGAGCGGGCATCTCAGATAGGGATATTCAAAGCTGGACATCAATTCTTCTCGCCCTGTACTCGGCTGCTTTGTTGGCCTTTGCGCCTGTTGTCGGGTACATCGCCGATCGAGCCGAGTCCCGTCGGTGGCCTTTGCTGGTTGGTCTCGTTGCGTTGGCTGCTGCCACAGCCCTTCTGTGTGTTGGCACTCATATCGGCTTGTGGATTGTTGGTCGCTTGTTTCAAGGCGCTGCCGCTGCGGTGGTATGGACGGCCGGCTTGGCACTGATGGTAGACACTGTCGGCAAAGACGACCTCGGCCAAGCGATTGGATATGTCTCTATGGCTATTAGCGTTGGAACTCTAGCTGGACCCCTTCTTGGTGGAGTTGTCTACGAGAATGGTGGATATTATGCTGTTTTCGGCCTTGCCTTCGCTTTCATCGCCCTCGATATCATCTTGCGATTGCTGTTGATCGAGAGAAGACACGCTATCAAATGGCTTGCGCCGGAGATGAGGCCTCTCTCTGTGAATGGAAACGAATCAGCGGAAGAGAAGTCAAACCAAATCTCAGAACCTCCCACCCCACCCACTAATGGCTCCGAACCTCGTGAATCCCAACCGCCTGCTCCCCCTTCACGGAGTGCGTTCAGGCGTGTCGCTATTTTATTGAGCTCGCCCCGTCTTGTTGTATCTGTCTGGGGATACTTCATCTTATCAATCGTCCTGACCTCATTTGACAGCGTCCTTCCACTCTTCGTGCAAGAGACATTCGGGTGGCAGCAAAGTGGCCAGGGGCTAATCTTCATTTGCCTCATGGTGCCACACTTATTAGACCCACTGACGGGGTACATTATTGATAAATACCCCAAATCCTGTCGCTACCTTGCCGCTGGGGCATTCCTCGCTTCCGTTCCCGTGTTGGTGCTTCTGCGTTTTGTCACGGATAGCTCGATGCAGCATAAGATTCTCCTCTGTGCTCTCCTCGCTTGTGTTGGGCTCTGCTTTGCCGTGGCTATGCCACCGCTCGTTGCGGAGGTCTTCTTCGCCGTGAAGGAGAAAGAGGATAAAACGCCTGACATCTTCGGTCGCGGTGGTGCTATGGCTCTAGCCTTTGGGCTGTCGAATATGGGGTTCGCGTCTGGAAGTCTGATCGGGCCATTCTTCGCGGGCTTTATTCGCCAAGAGGCTGGCTGGGGGGCGATGGGATGGGCAATAGGGTTGATAGCCGGCATATCATCTATCCCAATCTTGTTGTTCGTGGGTGGCTGGATCTTGAGAAAGCCGGTCACGTCAGAGAATGAAGTCCAATTGACTGACAGCGCACCTGGCCCATGAGTTGGCAAAGGCAAAAAAAAAAAAAGAAACCTACCTTGTATGTAATTCATCTTTCATACTTTCTGTGCATGTTAGATATCACAGTCTGAACAGGGTTTGCTACAGCCTTTCTCGAATTGTCAGACATACACATTCCACTCCATTATGCCTTCTAAGTTCCAGCAATATTTCCCTCGAATAGAAAAATCAGCAATAAACAAAAAGAATTGAACAAGTAGTTCTATTAATTTACCCCACATGAACCCACAAGTGTTCTCCGCAGCCCCGCGAAGATTATAGACATGCTATGGGCTCGGGACTTGTTTGAGAGGACATCAGCCGTGATTATGGAATGTCACCTAAATTGTCCGAAGCTCCCAATCTGTGTTTTGTCAAATATCCAGTTCCAAAGCTCTGAGAGTTAACTATGGCGGCTGAAATCCAACACTTATCCCTGAATGCCATATTCAAGGGCATCCAGCGTGATGATCAAAATGTGCCTGTTCATCAATTCCTCGGTATAAAATATGCCAGTATCCCAGCACGGTTCGAGAAGGCCGAGCCTGTCCGCAGTTTCGATGGGGCTATTATTGATGCCTCGAAATATGGGTAAGCCGTATTCACACAAGATAGAGACAGACTATGCTTGGGATATAGCTAAATTCATATACTGACATTTGATCCAGTCCGATATGTCCTCAACCGGATGTGGACGTCCGCCATCTCCTCCGTATTCCAGAGGACTTCGTCATTGCTCCTGAAGCAGAGGATGAATTCGAATGTCTAAATCTAGAGATCACATGTCCTCCCAAGTCTTCTACAACAGGCCCTCTTCCTGTTCTTATCTGGATACATGGCGGCTCTCAGATAGTTACATTCTGCTCTGCTGCCTCCAAGATTTGTGATCCGACCAAGATTGTCGCAGATTCTATCAAGGCAGGCAAACCTATCATCTTCGTGTCGATCAATTACCGCCTAAATATCTTCAGTTTCGGAGATGGCAACGAGAAGAATTTGGCTCTGAAAGATCAGCGTCTCGGTATCGAGTGGGTGCGACGGAATATCGCCGGTTTTGGAGGTGATCCTGTAAGTCAGATAACGTTTCCTGCGAATACGTGACCGTGCTCATTATGTTTAGGAAAATATCACCTTGTCAGGCGAAAGCGCGGGTGCTATCTATACCCATGCCCACCTTATTACTGGCCCTCCTGTGAGAAGGGCCGTTATGGCATCTGGAACTCTTTATCTGTCCTCGCCGCTACCGGTTGAAAAGGGAGATGGCCTCATCAAAGGGTTAGAAGCAAAGGTCCGAGAGCTTGGCCAAACTTCACTACGCGAATCCTCCGTTCCTGTATTGGTCCAAGCACTGCGAGAGTGTAATGTGAATACAATGTGGATCCAAGAGGAGCCTGAACTACTAGGTTGGGAAACCAAACCTGAGCTGGTCGAGGAAGTGATGATTGGCGATGTTGAGTACGAGGCAAGTAAAGCCTTGGCTATGAATGGTCCTTTGAGACATTACTAATTTGTGATTTAGTCTGTTATTTGGCGAAACGGCGTCGAGCTCCTCGACGGAGAGACGATCGCAGCTGCATTCGACAGCGATAAGCAATGGGGCACCCAGCTTCGAAAAATGTACCATATCGTTGGTGATCGCCCAACGGCTGCGAAGCTGGGAGCTCTAGATCTCGTCAATGATGTTCGGTATGCTCTTCCTGTCGAGGTCATTACCGACAAGTTACGCACGGCCAACAAGCGTGTCTTCCAATACGTGATCGACCAGACTAATCCCTGGCAACCTTCAAGTCGTGCACATCATGCCGTTGATCTGTTGTTTCTCTTCGACGGCGTTGATCTGTCCTTCAATCCTGCGGCGAACGCTGTTGGAAAGGAGATGCGGCAGCGTTGGATTCAATTTGTCAATGGTGATGGACCTTGGTCTACTAGTGTAAGATTTGCTTTTGGACCTCTGGGTGAGTGCAGGGAGATTGATGAATCGCAGTTCGCTGCTCATCGAAGAGTGGAGCATTGCAAGGTGCTCAAGGAAGCAGGAAATGGCACGTATATGCCTATTGTATTTGCTTTGACTGCGGGGAGAATTAGTCTGTTAAACTAGTCTAAAACAATATACTCAATATAGATCCAATGCAGTTTACTCTGTCGCAAGATCATAATTTTATTGGTTGTATATAATTGGCCAGTTGTCTCAACACCCAAAATCGCAAAGACTCCCTTTCACATTCCTGACATCTCGGCAGTTCAATCACCCTCTTGATCCCGTTAAACATCCACCAAATCAACCCTGAACTCCTATTGTCTCCCCACCCCAAACCTCCACTTTTAATCAGCCCTTACTCATGTGGGGTCGTCCGTTGCCCCCTCACATAAGAATGATATTTCTCCGCAATTCATCGGCCCGGAGCTGGTCTAGCAGGGAGCCCGGCAAGTCGATTGACCATGGCTTTGCCGATTTATGGGGGAAGGATCCACCGCTAAGGCATCTAATACACCAACATTGCGTGTTCAGCTGATGCTTCGCGACCATGCCGGGTGGCCCGAAGGACATCCCTGTATATTTCTCTTACTCGCTGACCCCACAAGTCGGATTCGGATGATTTAAACCGAACTACATATATAGAGGTGTTGCAACCCCGTGTTACTTGGAAGACAATAAAACAATCACTACTCTTCTAATTTGTTCATATTTTAACTTCTGGCCATTTTCATCACTATGCCTTGTACTGATTCCTTGTCGGACCCCGAGGAGTACCAGAAGATATTCCACTGGGCTGAGACCCAGAAGGATGGAACTATCCCTTCCTTCAACACAAGGCGTAACGACCCTTACGAGGTATGTTGCGGCACCATGATATCTACTATGTTACTCCCTAACAATTCTATAGTATCAATCTGGCTTTGGCAATTCGTACGTATTCATACATAACCTACATCTCTGATGATTCGAAATCCTGATCTAAGAACCCTTGAACAGCTTCTCGTCTGAAGCAATTCCTGGAACTATTCCTCACGGCCAAAACAGTCCTCGTATTGTGAGGTTTGGCCTTTACGCGGAACAGATGACAGCCACTGCCTTTGTCGCCCCACGACACTGCAATAAAAAGGCGTGGTTATACCGTGTCCGCCCGGCTGTCGCCCACCAAGGATTCGTAAGTCTCTCTTGCTCTTCGTTTTCTGTACGTCGGCACTGACACCCATTGCAGACAGAGCTCCCAGATAACAAAGACACCGAGGCAAATTTCCTACCCTTGAACCCACGTATCCATGTATCCCCTACCCAGCTAGCATGGCACCCCTTTGATATCCCCGAAAGCGAAGAAGTCGACTTCGTTTCAGGATTGAAGACTCTTGCCGGCTCGGGTGATCCCACACTGCGCGAAGGTCTGGCCACACATGTCTACGTCGCCAACACAAGCATGAAGAAGAAGGCATTTGTTAACTCCGACGGTGAATTTCTCATTGTTCCACAGCAAGGAGCACTCGACATTCAAACTGAATTCGGTCCCATCTTTGTGCAGCCAGGGGAGATTGTTATTATTCAGCGCGGTATCCGCTTTAGTGTCAAACTTCCAGATGGTCCCTCGCGCGGGTATATCCTCGAGGTCTGGGGTACGCAGTTTGAGCTCCCTGAGCTGGGACCACTTGGTGCAAATGGTCTTGCAAATGCGAGGGACTTTTTGAGTCCTGTTGCTCAGTATGAGGTGGCTCAAGAGCCGTGGGAAATTATTTACAAGCTTGGAGGCAAGTTCTTCAGGAGTACTCAGAACCACAGCCCATATGATGTTGTAGCCTGGCATGGAAACTATGTGAGTTGGTGTCATTCTGGTAGTCGAACCTCAGCCAACTAATGTTGTTTAGGTCCCCTATAAATATGACTTAACCAAGTTTGTTAACGTGGGATCCATCTCTGTGGACCATATCGACCCGTCTATCTTCTGTGTCCTCACGGCCAAATCCCGCGATTTAACCGCACCTCTGGCTGATTTCCTCACTTTCTCTCCTCGATGGGATGTTGCCTCACGTATGTCTGGCCAGTTTGTTGATTCATAAACATTGCTAATAATAAAAAAAGACACATATCGACCTCCCTATTACCACCGCAATGCGGCATCCGAACTAATGGGTTTAATCTACGGTGGCTATGGTGGGCGCTCGGACGAATTCAAGCCGGGGAGCGTGTCATTTGAATGTGGCAGTATGCTGATCCTGGAATTTCCCCCCTCGAATATTAGTCAATGCTGATACTTTCTCTAGTGGTTCCTCATGGCGTTGCATACGAAGAGTTCAAAGACGCCATTGATAATGCACCGCCAGCGATGCAGATATCGAAGGCGTCGATTGCATTCATGTTCGAGTCTTGCCGTCCCTTCACAATTACTGATTACGCATGGTACAGTGAAAAGAAGCATGAGCATGAGCCTAAGATGTGGGATAGCTTAGTGGACAATTTCTCAAAGCACGCCAAGGAGGTTGATGAAATTTTGGCTAAGAAGGCGAAGAATCACTCCTTTTCCTAGGCACATTTTACATGAGCAGATATCAACTTGTATTATGACATTTAAATAGATTACTTGAAATTAAACTGGACAAAATCAGCCAACCCACTAATCTGAATTACCCAAACAAATGTCTTATTGTCGAGATTCTTGATGAAGATCATGTAGTCTGGAGTGTCCGCAATCGTCTCTTCAAGGCCCCTTGGAGCAAACACAAGGTCTCTGATTACCTGGATGATATCTATACCAACTACCTCACTTTTCTCAGTTTCGTCCAGCAGGGAGGCATCCGTCAAGAGAGGGGAAGTGCTTTTTCATGATATCAACAAACTGCTGCTGAGTGTAGGTGGTGGAAGAAGTCGAGTATCTCTGGTTAGAGGCAATGGCATCCTCATAAGCTCGCACGTGGGCTTTAGCTGTGTCTCTGACATCAACGCAGAGAGAGACAGGCGTTTTCCTGGAGTGTCTAGCTTCCCGTCCACGAGTTGGTACACAGAAGTAAGAGAAGGTTTGCTGTCACATATCTAGTAATAGAAATCATGGCCTTAATCTATGGGATATATGGGTAGATTAGGGGTGCGCAAGAAAATGTTGTGACCGTCGTTGTCCTATTGTCTGCATTAGAGATCTTTGGTTAGACTTATTTCTTGAGGAACTACAGACACTATTTGAGACGTCATAACGGATTCGGAGTTCCCTGAAGGTATTTGAATATATAGTTTCAACAAATGAAAAGGTCAGATATCATCTAGGCAACGAAGCTATATACGAAGGAGATGAATGAGATTGACGTTTACGCTATAACAAAGGCTTGCATCTCTGGAGCTCGAAGTTATGGCAAAAGAAGGCTTATATGCTGTCATATATATGTCACCAAAATTAAAAGAAATGCTTAACAAGCCAATTCCCTCTTTTGATGCAACTCGCGAGGATCTATACTTCCCAAGGTTCTCCACTTTTCCGGGACCCACATCTCTCCTCAGCCTCAAAAGGTTATCGGTTCTCTGATTCTCTGACTTTCATCTGAGTCGTAGTACGTTGCACTAGTTATCCTTTTGTACAAGAATAAGCTTAGTTCATGATGATCGCCCACGTATAATCTGTGTAGTTTATAATATATGACTAGCTGGCCACCTAAAATATTCCATCGAGGACTATAATCTCCATACGGGACATGGACAGAAAAAAGAATGACGGAAAAGAAAGTGAACACCAATCGTAGCACGAGAGTTAGTCCAGCTTGCCTCGAACTCAATGAAGTCAAATCCTAGCATGTTAATGTTTGATATTTTGCCACTGAATCTTTCGGAAATGGCTCTATGTCCACGGTGATACTCCCATAAATGCCTGACGAAGTCTACATAAGATTATTAGGAACTGTCCAGTATTAAAGGTTTCAAGCTCCGCCTGAACATATTGACTTCAATATGGACTCAGTTCTATAATCAGCAACGTCTAGGGACTAAGAAATATTATGTTGGGGGGCTTTCAATTTATAATAAATGTTTATGTCCATCAGATCGGTGGTCGGCGTTTCGGTGTCCGACCGAACCCGGGAGCGAGGACCCCTAACACCGACATCTTCATGAAAGTCGTCAAATATGAATTGGAATAGGAAAATTGTGGATCTATCGGGGTCAATGGAAGCCGATCTGCGATATATGATTACCTTTTGTTTCAAAGGAAGAAGCTCGGGACTGAACTAAAGTATAATAGTTAAGGGGCATCTGTACATCGCATGTTGTATGAACTATGAACTACAACACATTCCGGGCTCAGTCCACAAAAACGAATAATATTTCACATAATCACCTTCTATATATTCTGAATCGAAGCAAGGAAATATACCTGAACACATTAGAGTTCGTTCTCCGATCTGCAGTCCTACAGCCAACTCTTAACTAACCAATTCCCCTAGAAGATGGCAGGACCCTATCTGTCTCGAGTAGCCTCAGTGGGAGGTCGGCCAACAGTCCCCCTTGATGTCCCCATATGTGCTGTCTTCCTCGCCCTTTTCATCGCCGGTGGCGCCTGCCACATGACTCTGCTTCGCCGCAACGCCGCAAGAGGCCACAAATTCATTCCATCGGGCGCAACATTTGGGTTCTGCATGTCGCGTATTATCGCAAATATCATGCGCATCGCCTGGGCCTGCCACCCGACCAACGCTAGAATCGCGATTGCAGCACAGATCTTCGTTGCAGCGGGCGTGTTGCTGCTTTTCATCTTGAACTTGCTATACGTACAGCGTATCTTCCGGGCTGTCTACCCAGTCGTCGGATGGTCCCGACCTTTATCATTGGCGTTCAAAGCACTGTATGCTCTAGTCGTGGTGACGATTATTATGGTAATCACCTGTGTTGTTCAGAGTTCGTACACTCTCAACCCGAACACCCTTCGCATCGATCGTGATATCCAGCTCTACGGCCAGACCTACTTCGCCATCATCTCGTTCCTACCACTTCCCCTTCTCTTGCTTGTCCTCCTGTCGCCAAACAGAAACCAAATCCAACAGATTGGCTCTGGTAGCTCGGTCGCCAAAATCTTCATCGTCGGACTTGCTGGCTCGTTGCTCTGCCTGGGCGCTTCATTCCGTGCCGGTACCTCCTGGATGCCGCCTCGTCCTGTCACCGACCCAGCTTGGTATCACAGCAAAGCCTGCTTCTATATCTTCAATTTCACTATTGATATTTCGGTCGTGGCTATCTTCTTCGTCGGTCGTGTTGACCAGCGATTCTGGGTTCCGAATGGAAGCTCGAAAGTGCGTCACTACAGACGAGATGAGAGTGGAAGTCCTCTTCAAGCCCATTATGAAAGGGATATGGAGAGTAACGGTAGCACTTTGTCCCAGGAGATGACCGAAGGAACAAAATAACCCGAGAGAAGACCATTGCATTTCAAGGTGTACATTATTCGAGCGCACAGGTTGTCTTAATGCGTTATGACATTCGCGGATGAAGTGATCTATGTATATTAGTGTTGACGATAACTGCGCTGCTACTAATACGAGTTTATAGTGGCTCGAACTTTGCCTTTCCATTAGATTTCTTCAACTTGTACAACACATTTGGCATATCTCTACGCTCTCTTATCCGTAAACTAGTCGATTCTGTCGGCTCTATTAGGGAGATGCTCTATTAGGATCATTAGCAGGATGCAAAGGGCATGTTTATTGGCACGAATAGATTAGTTCACTCTCGCCAGACCATACGTCTTAACAAGCGCAACCATCGCTGGACCGGGCTACAAGCAACCTTGGCAGACCCTTTTCAGCAATGACAAGCCTGAAAAACTCTTAGACAGCCATTGCTTGGTGCGGCTTTTTATCAGATCTGAAACTCTACTTCTCTATCGAGCGATGGCGATTCCAAGTTTCAACCCTTATCACTCCTATGAATGCTTGTTCGTGCATGGTGTAATCCTCCATGTGAGGAAGAATAACTACAACGGCCTTGCTCTTCGAGGCTGAGAATCGCTAGTCTACACCTCGCTTAACCCCACTCAAACCCTTAAAAGCCTCAAAGTCAGGGGCAATACCACATCTCTCCCTCCCATACGACCTTGTGAGACACCACTAACCCAAGTGAGCTCTAGCCTAAAGATCTAAGTGGATTCGGTGCTTGCCCAGCTGGCCAAACCGGCAATTCGCCCCGCTAGCAGCTCAAAGCCAAGCACGTTAAGCTTCATTTGATCATTTCGAAGAGCACTATGGAGTGCTAGTTAGCGATGGGGATTTAATTACCCAACTTGAGTCTGTGGCTAAAGTACCACAAGACCCTGCACTAACATACGAGCTGACTGCACGAATCTTCCTTTTTGAGAGACACATTTCCCTACCAGGATTTCAATAAACGTCGGGATTGTATAAATTTCGCCATCATGAATACCGCAGCCGTCGCTGGCGGATACTGGACCTTTGAAAACTACGGCCCCATAACAACAACATTCACCCCCGCGCCCAGCTGTACCGCGACAGATAGACTCTCCCTAGCCCTGATCGATGACCATGAGACCCATGTCCAATTCCAAGTCGCCTGTCCTACACCAACGAGCGACTGGGACTGTATGCCGCCGGGCACGACCACGTCGGCAACTTGGTACGATGAGAAAAAATGGGTCGCTTCTGCCGGATACTACTCGCCGGGATTGTACTGTCCTTCCGGCTGGGAGACGATTGGTATGGCTGCGCGCGATGGTGAGTCACTGAGTACTTCGGGATTCTTGACTACCTCTGAGGATAAGATTCCGTCTTATGAGGAGCCTGTGACACTATTGGCGAGTTTGTTGGAGCCGAGTCAGACGATAGCGCTTTGCTGTCCCAGGTAAGTGGGCATCACTTTGATTACAGCGGACTTGGACTTGGGCTAATTCATCCTCTAGCTCCATGACGCCAAATGGTCTCGGCCAATGTATCGCTCAAGTCCCAACCTACAAGCCCAGCGTCGGTTGCGAGGTCTACGTGGATAGTGATTACAGTTGGGAGAAGGTAACCTGGACACATGTGTATTCCGACATCACGAAGACAGACACCTACGATGTGCACTCATTTGTGAGCGCTACTACGTCGACTTCGTCTACATCCTTTCCTCGTGGAGCCGAGAGTGTGCTGACGGCTATCTCTTTTGTTCCTATGATTACTATGGTGCATCATCGGTCTGATCTGGAGGCAGCTGGGGTTACGGTTGCGTCTACCAGTGCCAAATCTACGGGGACTGAGGTTGGAACTGGCACCGCTAGCTCCGAGGCTACGGGGACTGCTTCTTCTACGTCGAATGCCGCGTATAGATTCGGCAACAGAGCGCCTACCTTGGATGGATTTGGTGCGATTATGGGGGGTTTTACCCTTGCGGTGGCACTGTGCGTGACTATGATTATCCTGTAAGAGAGGTTCGGTAATATAAAATTCAAAGCTTCATTAAAGTTCTTTATAGAAGGTACAGAGTAGGCTTATCATCTACTGCAATTAGTCCTGTGTGTCACACTAGACATCAAGTATATAGCACGTTGCCGAGGGCCCTGGAATGAACGTTGAATTGGTCCCCTCCAACAGCAAGACTATTTCGGCAAGAGTGCTGTCACTTTATCCTCCAGTAGAGAAGCCCGACGGGGGACTTCTCAAGGCGTGGAAGAGGTTGACGCACATATACGTAGATCCCCCAAGGCTAGGTCCTTTGGGCTATCACTGATAACCCTAGATCGTCAGAACTCCGAACCATTCTCGTTGGCCCGTTCAACTAGTACCTTGTTCGAGAAGGTTCAGGTGGCCGTTTGGTGTGTAGTGATACGGACTCGTGATTCCGGAACATCTGCCCTCAAACGGATGGACTTTGTTCATGCAGAAGCTGGGCTACAAGGAGACACCGAGCAAAGATGAGAAGACCCATACTAGCAGTGATGAGACGTCTAATCTCGTTGGAAGTTCGGACACTTATAAAGCTGCAAGCAGTTGTCAATCATCTAGTGCTAGCCATTAGCAAAAGAATATTAAATTCGAGCCTTTAATGCGTATATCTGAGCTCCTAGCGGTACACAACGATAGAGCCCTGTTACCTCAATTAACTAGACGAAGGTAATAACGCTCAATCCGGAATATACCCTGCCCCCAGCGTATCCCTATCGTCTCGTGGAACCGGGTCTTGCAAATGGTCTTTTATTTTCATGATTGGTATCAACAAGTGGCCAGGCATCGAACCATACAGAATTAAGTAGGCGAGAGCCCTGTTCGATTGCGAACCCCATTCTCCGCCAGTCCAATTGCCTCTCGACGGACAAAAATAAAATCTATCAAAGGAAATAGTCAGGTGTGCGCCTCGATACCATAGGTTCTCCCGCCCGAGGGCAAGGGTCGAATTGTAGGCTAGATAATGTCAGTAGGATATTCAATAAGAGGTAATCTGCACAGGTGTGCTCACAATGTGTATTTCAAATGCTCGTCAATCTCCATAATAGCGGCCTGGTTGCCGCAGCGGTAACAGTAATTTGGTGCTGTAGTCGTGTTAGTGCTTTGATCTATCAAGTCTAGCGACGCAAAAATTACCTGAGAAAATAGTGACCACGTTCCGATCCTGCGACCAGTTATATCCTTCCATCACCAATTGATGGGCACGTGCCACAAGAGTCAAGCCGTTGTTGTGGTTGAAGGCTTCGGAAATGTCCTGTCCGAACGTGTATCCTGCACCACGGGGAGAGATTCCCCATCCGCATCGGTCATCGGGATCACTCCAGAGCAAATCACACATGGGACCCTCGTGGGGAACTTCTTGGATGCGATCAAGTGACCGGATGTTGTCGAGAGTGTCAATGGACGGACTCAGTCCACCGTGAAGACAGAAAATCTGGTTTTCGATGAGAGCAGTGAGGGGAAGGTAGTCGAAAAGGTCGGTGAAGTATTTCCACACATTGGCATTGCCGTATTTGCGGAGACATTCGTCATAGAATCCGTAGACCTGTGTGATCTGTCGGGACTCGTGGTTTCCACGGAGGATGGTAATACGCTGAGGGTAACGGATCTTCAGGGAGACCAGGAGGGTCACTGTCTCAACTGAGTAGTAACCACGGTCGACGTAGTCACCTATATCATGAAAAAAAAATTAAAAAACATTACCCCACAACGCGTTCATCCGACCGTCGCCCACTCACCCATGAAGAGGTAGTTTGTATCCGGGTTAGGACCACCAATGCGGAAAAGCTCCATTAAGTCGTGGAACTGTCCGTGTATGTCACCGCAGACTGTCACTGGGCATTTCTGTATCGACTAGGTCAGTGGGCTGGGCGGGGAAAACAACAACCCGACCGAGAAACATACCACTGGCTGCACATTGGATTCCTCCTGCAATACCTCTCTTGCCTGGAAGACACATAAATGATCAACTTGAGCTCAGCATTGTCAATCTGTCAAAATAAGAAACCCACCCGATCGCACAGCCGTCGCACGTCTTCCTCCGCTAATTGCTTGCAAGTCATCAAACTCTCGATCCAGCCGTCCAGAGTCGGTATAGACCCCGGGTCGCTTGTTGGCGACAGGTGGTGTGGCTCGGGGGACCGCGCAGTATCGATTTCCATGTTGTTATCCATTGCGTCGGTGTGCTCAGCTGGCTGAAAAGGAGGGGCCAGCTGGGGAGGGGCGGTCTCGTGAGAAAACAACGGAATTCGTGGATAGGCGCAGGTATCGTGGGGTTTGGGGAAATATGTGGAATAATTATGCCCCAGATGGAAATTCAATTAAAAGACAACTTCCCAAGATTGATTCAAGGGATAAGGGGATGGGATTTGCGAACGCGAGAAAGGGAGAAGAGATGGGAGTTCGGGAAGGTCAAGTTGAGAGTGGTGAACAGCGCCACACTTCAGCCACACACCGCTTTCTACAGGAGTCCCTACGTAATTCAAAGTTATCAACTACACTATTGTACAGAACAACTACGGGGTTTATATCTTGGTTGTGGTTGGGTTGGGTTGTGTGAGACCTCTGACAAGACAATAAAATAGTCGTATACAAAGATCTCCCACACAATGCAACCAAAAACGTACGGCAGGAAAGACATCAAAAAGGGCCATTGAGATATGGCTGTAGCTTCTTGTTATTCTTGTCAATGTTGAAACAGGTTTAAGTCATTTTGAAAACAGAGAATCTTCTTCTTCTTTGTTCCAGTCTCACTTTCTCGTCACTCGTTAGATAATGTCCCCGCCAAATCCACCACCAAACCCACCAAAGCCGCCCCCACCTCGTCCATTATTACCGAAAGGTCCTTGATTACGACCGACAGGTGGCTCACCAGGTCCTACGGGATCATATCTTGCACCGGGAGGTACACGGGGGTCATATCCACCATTGCCACCTCCTCCACCGAAGAGAGGGTCATCAAAGGTAGGATGCATACCCCCGCCACCTGGACCAAAGCCAGGGCCCATAGATCCGCGCAAAGGATCATTGGGACCAAGACCTGCTGGATAGAGATCGCGCTCTCCGATGTTGTACGGATTTCTGCCTCCTCCAAGTCCTCCTGGATATCCTCGCGGGGGCCGGTTGATCTCAAACTCATCTTCGAACCCGGGCGGGGCAAAGTCTGGTGGGTTGGGGCGGCGAGGAGCTGCCGCTAGGGGATCATCAAACGGACGTGGACGGGCGGGCTCGGGGAGGGAACCATCCTGGGGAATATCCGGTTGTCTTTCTTCTTGTAGCCTTGCTCTGGACGGCTGGCTTGGATCTTCATACCCCTCTTTGTACAAACCGGGCGCGAGTCTCTGGATCACGTTGATTTTAAACAAACCGACCAAGTCGCCTAGTCGAGCTGGCGAGATGAACACATCTCGCAAGGACGCAGTGAGGTTGTCTGAGGAAGATAGAGGGAGCGCAGAGGTGGAGATGTAGTCTTTGTGGGGAATGTCGAACGAGCTGGTCCGGTCATCGCCCAAGGCCAGTGCAAAGATCACTGCATTATTTCCCAGTCGACTCACTTTGAGTAGATACTGCATCGAAGACTGCGCATGTGCATACCGAAAGGCAAATGTATCGTTAGCGTTCCATTCTGCGGGGAGGGAAGGTGTATCTGTAGATGTTTCTGGAGAAGTTAATAAGCGTACACCGAGGCGATTAGACGATAGCTGACATACCTAAGTTGTGGTCTTCACCGAGACCGACTAGTCTGAAATCAACTGCTGCCATGCATGCATGGCCGATCAGAGCCACAGCCTCATATGGTGTTTTGAGACTCGGCTGTCTCTCCCCTGCGGGTTGGATAGCTCTGACAGCAAGCTCGAGTATATTATCCTGGCGAAGGGCATCCGCTGGAGCCATTTTTGACAGATTTTGTATATTTCCGACGTGCAATACTAGATGGCAGGGAATCTTAGAAAATATTAGGAGATGGGGTGATGATGCGGCTCACTGATGCCCAAGGTGACCTCACCTGGAGCTAGCTGCCTTGGGAAATGTGTGGCGTCGGAACAGGGATCCCCCGTTCCAGCTATCTGCCCCACTTGCCTTTTCTATTTTTGGCCAAGCGGAGAGCTGCATACAAAAAAAGAAATTACAAGCACTCTTAGATTCATGAAAAGAATTATTTGATTGACAAGAAGCTTCCCCTCTATAACATCGACTTCGGGAAATTCTTCATTGCCTGCCTCACTCCCAAATCTGCCAAAATCTCCTCAGTTCCACCCAAGATGGCATCGAACTTGTATGTGCGATGGAACATCTCGATGACCTTGCCCATTCCTGACTGAGTGATACCACGACCACCAAAGATGTTCGTGGCAAGACTAGCAATCTCACCTGCGGCTTGGGTACAGTGAGACTTGAGCAGTCCGATAGGTCCACCCAGATGCTTCGCTTGCTGGGCGTATGTCATGTTGCACATCTGGTAGGCGATGGATTCAAGCCATGCCTGGTTAGATTCAGCCAAGGAGATCATGCGAGCGATCCTGCTGGGTGTTAGAAGAGAAATATCACCAACAAATCATCCAGGAGACTCACTTTTGACGAATAACCGGTTGTTCAATCAACTTCTTGCCAAAGACAATGCGCTGGTTGGACCATTTCATCGTCTCTTCCACAACCATCATTGACATGCGGACTACAGCAGCGACCATCATAAACCGCTCGTGGTTAAAGTTGCTCATGATAACGATGAAACCTTTGTGCTCCTCGCCTAGGAGATTCTCAACCGGAACTTTGACATTCTCAAACTGCACGAAAGCAGTGGCAGCGGCAGTTGAATATGAGGTCTTGATTTGCTTGGTCTCCACACCCTCACCGCGAGGAATCAAGAGCACCGAGAAGCCCTTCTCGGTACGGCAACCAGTTACAAAGTAGTCGGCGAACATGCCATTTGTGATCCATTTCCTGGGCCATGTTAGCGCAAATCTCTTAATTCAACCAACCAATGCGATGCTACTGACTTTGTTCCATTGACGATATAATGTTTCCCATCAGGAGTCTTCTCTGCGGTGGTCTTCAAACCCGCCACATCGCTACCGGCAAAGGCCTCGGTGATAGCCAAACACATCTTCTTCTGGCCCGACAAGACCTCATCATTGAGACGCTCCTTGAGTACAGGATCATGCAGCCATTGTTGGACAGCCGTCAGACTAATAGCCATACCGGCCATATTACCATCCTGGAAGCCTCTGGCATTGGCACGGACTAACTCCTGTACTATAATCATATCATGGAGATAATCAAACTCCTTTCCATCCACGGCTCCACCGAGTAAGGTACGGTTGTGCAGATGCTTTCCGGGACCCAATCGCATAGCCAGAATGTTCGTCTCGGCCATGCGGTTGATTAGCTCTTGGCTGATGTAGGTGCCATCCTGCTCTTTCTCCTGCGCTTCGGGCGTCACATATTTATCTGTGAATACTCGGATGGCCTTCTGCAGGCGTCGGTGGGTCTCCTTGTAGTAAGGGGACTTAAATTGGGGTCGTAGCCATAGGGGTTCTGCGTAGGGCACGGGGCTCAAAGCTCCAGGGACGGGCACGATGACCTCGGGTTTTTCGCCTTCGACAACACCGATGCAAAGCTGGTCACGGTATTTCTCCAGCACCTCCTGGCGGTGCAGGTTGTAGAAATCGGATGTTGCGTCCTGGCCAGCAACCTGAGCAAGCACGACGGCACCACCGGGGTGGGCGTCGACAAAATCGGTTAGATCATAGACTTGGTGGTCGATGATGCACCAGAGGGAGTCCTCTGTGTTATGCTTCGCGATCTCCGCACGTGTGAGAGTTTCTGATGGCATATTTTAGTATGAATGAATGGGGAAGAAGAATGGGGGGGGGGGAGTAAATACCCCAGATTATAAGTCGCCAATCATGCAACTGTTGTTTCAAATTGAGCCGAGGCCCGAGAAATGTGATGTCAGCGTCGTTGGGTCCCTTGCCTACAGTACAACCCCAACAGTCTACCAACGAAGACCTCGGGATCTGCTTCCGATTACTGATCGGCCAATTGTACGATATATAATTGATGTTTTCCCCAATAGCAGCCTGTTGAATTGAAATCACCAAGAACGTTTATAACTCGCACGACCCACCTGTTGACGTGCCACCACGTGTCGGTTTTAGCTTCTGTTAGGAGGAACACAACACAGCATTACTAGACACGATGCATATAGCTTCAGGCTGAGAGAGATCAAAGAGAAAAGGCTTCTTTCAACGCATCAGAGGTTATCATGGCGGTCGGACTAACTTTGTTTCTAAAAATATATCTCAAACAAATCAATTGGGAGTGTATTCATGGGTAACATATCCTGTGTTTACACGTCATTAATAATCTCCTTTCGAATGACCAGCCTTGATATCTTTCATTGCCTGCTCCATTAACCACGCACAAACAGGCTGCGCATCGTTTCCAACCCGCCAGCTGCCTAGCACAACACCGTGCTGTTCAAGCACTTCGCTAGCGCGATCCCAACGACGTCGCCAAAGCTCTTCGCGCTTATTTGGGAGGGGCGCAGGCAGCACTCCCGACTCATTATACCCTACTCTCCTAAGAGATTGGTTGGATGGGGAATTTCGTGGCCCAGAGGCGGATCCCGAGAAGTTGAGCCGGTCGCTTGCATACTGGAACCCCTGGTATGCGGCCTGGGCGGCAGCCGCTGGGTATGATTGAATACCACTCGCAGGAGCCGGAGTCCGAGCTGGCGTAGTTGATGTAGTTGATACACTGGGATCTGAATTGGTTGTTGATGACCCAGTGTTTGTGCGACGTGGAGGGGGGCGGGGCGGTGGTGGCTTGGTGCGTGTAGCTTGCGATTGACTCTGAGTACCTGTAGAACCATCATCGAGGCCTTTGAGCCACGAAGAGGGAACTTCATCCGTTGATGTCCCGGCGCTGCTCTGGGGGGTTGAAGGCGAGGGATCCAGATCAATCAATGAATCTGTCTTGGGCACTCCGCGTCTGGGTGGCACAGGCGGGACTGGTTTGCGCTTGGGGGCTTCTTGTGCTCCCGCCGGGTTGGGTTCTTTTTCTGGCCCATTGGAAGGGGTAGCAACATTGCGTAGAGAGGATGGTCTAGAACTCTTCGCCAAATCAGCTGGCGTAGAAACCATGCGCAGTGCAGATGGTTTGATTGGTTTCGCTGGACGTGGTCGTGGAGTTGCGGGGTGTGTAAGCCCCGCTGGAGGTGGCTGATCACCGATGATAAGATCTGTGAGATCAATCAGGTCCTCAAGGTCAAGGTCCTTTGGATCTGGTTCATGATGGCCCACGGGCACTGTAGAGTCAACAGTCGTGCCACCACGAGGCGGCAGTGTAGGTCTGTTGGTAGCGGCGTCCGAGTGGTCTACTACATTTGGTGAACTGCGACTGCGTTTAGACTGGTCAAGATGGCCCACGGATTTGTCGAAGAACTTCTGGGTTTCTGAGGTCGTGACATCACGAATGAAGATGCCCAGGATCTGGCCAGGATTTGCCAACACAATCTCAGTGTAAACCTCCAGATCAGCTTCACCACTGTCACCGACAAGTATGAATTTGCGTTCCGGGAAGTCGCGCAGAATTTGTTCTAATGAACCCCGTTTCCTCTCTGCGGTAGGCTCAAAGATTCCTTGAAGCATGCCCGAGTACTGTTTGAGATGGAAGGAGCCCGGAGGTAATCCAACCATTTTGAAGTACCGCTCAAGCAGAGGATACAACTGCCAGGGAGCATTCGATACATAGTGAATTTGCACACCCTCATTGGCCAGTTTGCAGTACCAGTCGCTGACTCCTTCGACTGTGAGTTCATCTAATTCACGGACGAAGGTGTTGCGGAACATCTCTTTCGCTCCGCTGGCAATGGCTGAGTGCTTGACTGTATCATCGATGTCACTAATCAAACTGATTCCAACCGGGTCAATGACCTCAATCGGCCGTGCAACAGACAGGTCCTCGGATGCCAAAACACGAATATGAGTTGGCACAAAGGGCAGTGTAGCGCGGAGAGTAAAATGGCCTGATTCATCCGTCAAGATATTTCTAGACTTGCTTTCATCGTCGTTGAAGAAGAACACTGTCACTGGCATGCCGCCAACGGGATTCGTCAAGAATGGACGAAGTCTTTCCATCAGATGGGCATTCGCTATAGATAATTCATCTTTACTCAATGGTGCAGCAGGTTGGTGTGTCTGCTCCGCATTCGAGCCTTTCCAAGCCGGGTCTCCTTCCTTTTCAGCCTTGGCGACTAATGTTTGGATTTCCTTGTCGATGTATTCATCATCTCCCTTCCCAGAGACCTTGTCGTTACTTTCATCATTTGCAGTTCCAGTTGGTGCAGAGATCCCGCTCAGCTTCCTGGCCAGAGCAATCATCAACCGGTGCTTTCGGCTCATCGGTCCCCGACCAGGAGAATAGATCCAGCCACGCACGTCAACGGCCACGACTGCATCTTCAGCCTCCGATGCATCCCAATTAGGCGAGGAAAGATCATCATCCTCATGTGTTGTACCCCGGTAATCATCGATAGTTTCCGACCACGAGTCACGTCGCGGACGGGTGCTGGTACCGGTGCTCTTCTTTACTAATTTCCTGGCATAACTGGGGAAGACCACCATCTCCTCATCGCCTGACCTTGCAATTTCAACATCTGGGAATGCACCGGGGGTATTGTAGTAGTCCTCATCATGTTCATTCCTCTGCCCCGACCATTGTGAGGTGTAGGTCTGGCGTAGCTCATTTGCCGCTCTGAAATATTCGTAAACCTTCTTTCGGCGGCTACCAGGGGCAGAAGCACCATCACCGCTACCTGGCCCCCATGTCGATGAAAGTCCAGATTGCGACATCGGGTCTATGGTTGTGTCCTTCGGTCCGTGGCGGGGCTC